ACGACTAGTGTATGTATAGAGAGGTTAATGACAGCCACGACTAGTGTATATGTAGAGAGAGAGGTTAATGTCTGCCACGACTAGTGTATGTATTGAGAGGTTAATGTCAGCCACGACTAGTGTATGTATAGAGAGAGGTTAATGTCAGCCACGACTAGTGTATATATAGAGAGGTGAATGACAGCCACCACTAGTGTATATGTAGAGAGGTGAATGACAGCCACGACTAGTGTATGTGTAGAGAGAGAGGTTAATGTCAGCCACGACTAGTGTATGTATAGAGAGGTGAATGACAGCAACGACTAGTGTATATGTAGAGAGAGAGGTTAATGTCTGCCACGACTAGTGTATGTATAGAGAGAGGTTAATGTCAGCCACGACTAGTGTATATAAAGAGAGGTGAATGACAGCCACCACTAGTGTATATGTAGAGATGTGAATGACAGCCACGACTAGTGTATGTGTAGAGAGAGAGGTTAATGTCAGCCACGACTAGTGTATGTATAGAGAGGTGAATGACAGCAACGACTAGTGTATGTGTAGAGAGAGAGGTTAATGTCAGCCACGACTAGTGTATGTATAGAGAGGTGAATGTCAGCCACGACTAGTGTATGTATAGAGAGAGGTTAATGTCAGCCACGACTAGTGTATGTATAGAGAGGTGAATGATAGCCACGACTAGTGTATGTATAGAGAGGTTAATGACAGCCACGACTAGTGTATATGTAGAGAGAGAGGTTAATGTCTGCCACGACTAGTGTATGTATTGAGAGGTTAATGTCAGCCACGACTAGTGTATGTATAGAGAGAGGTTAATGTCAGCCACGACTAGTGTATATATAGAGAGGTGAATGACAGCCACCACTAGTGTATATGTAGAGAGGTGAATGACAGCCACGACTAGTGTATGTGTAGAGAGAGAGGTTAATGTCAGCCACGACTAGTGTATGTATTGAGAGGTGAATGACAGCCACGACTAGTGTATGTATAGAGAGGTGAATGACAGCCACGACTAGTGTATGTATAGAGAGAGAGGATAATGACAGCCACATCTAGTGTATGTATAGAGAGGTGAATGACAGCCACGACTAGTGTATGTATAGAGAGGTTAATGACAGCCACGACTAGTGTTTAGAGAGGTTACTGACAGCCACGACTAGTGTATATGTAGAGAGAGAGGTTTATGTAGGCGAAGACTAGTGTATAGAGACCGGTTTATTTGAGTCACGACTAGTGTATATGTACAGAGAGGTTAATGTCAGCCACGACTAGTGTATGTATAGAGAGGTTTATTTGAGTCACGAATGGTGCATGTATAGAGACGCCAATGTCAGCCACGATTAGTGTATGTAGAGTGAGGCTTATTTGAGTCACGAATGGTGTTCCTGTAGATTGTTTCCTGTCAGGCATGAAGGCAGTGTATGTAGAGAGGTGAATGGCAACTACGAATGGGGGCTACGTGCCTTTGTTTGCAGTGGAACAGTTATAAGCATTTATCAATATTCATTGGAAGCCAAGATCTATAGTTAGTTGAGTATGTTCCATACGCTCTTCAATATTGGCAATATTACACTCATGCAGCTGCGGCAAAAACAATACAAATATACTAAATTGCTTTGTGAACGGCTTCAAAGCCAAACCGCTTGTCCCCTTGTTTGAGAAACGTTTGAAGAAATATTCGCCAAATCGTCACCAAATAAAACATGCAAAATACACGTGTAAGTAAGCGCAAAAGCTTTTGGTATCGATCACTATAAAAAGGCAAACGTTGTGTTTAATTTTGTCATTCGTTTTTGCCTGGAAATCATCATGCCACGACCCAGTGCTGCCAATCGAGACATCGCCATAGGCCGCCTTGAAGCTGGGGAGTCGCAGTATGCAGTTGCCCGACATTTCATCAGAGCGCCAAAACTCGCCTTTGGGGTCGTTTCCTGCAGACCAATTACGTCCAAGCTGGCAAGAGAAGAGGCCGTCCAAGCAAGTCAGCGAGCCTGACCACCCGATCCCGTTAGTCGCCTCCACACGCCTCCTACGACAAGCAAGTTACTGAAGACCAATTCTAACCCGGATCCCCACGGGTGGAACATCTATAAGATGCAATCGATCGATGTGTACGTCAACGTCAAAACACGCCTCCTACACTTCCACGACTGGCCACCGTATTGCAGGAGGAGTAGGGAAGAATTCCGCGACTTCAGGCATCCAGTCTGTGCTGAGACGCTGCCGGTCAGTAATTGCTGCCAATGGTGGTCATACAAAGTACTGACTTTGACGCCATCTTGTGGACTCAAGTAAACGGAAACACAACAATAAAGGCAGTTGTTGTGTTGGCGAACTCTTTGGCTTTTTACCATTGAAATTACATGTAATAATTACTCTTAAACTACCGCCATAAATTCGTCTAAAAATGGCGTATATTTATTTATTTATTTATTTATTTATTTATTTATTATTTATTTTTGAAGGGTGTATTTCATAAATCACTGTTTCGTGGATCGAGTTGTGAAATCAATGTGTTTGCGCAGATCTGCCGTATTTCAGTTGCAGCAGAGAGGGATGAGGGCCCACTTGAATACAGCGATGTCATCAGCACTGTCACTGTGTATGGGAGATGCAGTGTCGGCTGGCTTATTGGTGTCTTAGTCTTCAAACGTTACGTGAGAGATGTTTAAAAAATGACAACAAACCCCAAAGTGTATGTATCCCTGTAAACAAATGGCTGAGTGAATATTGCTCAGAGCCTCGTCACCAAAAGCCCACAGCTCTCAGCAGAGGACTGAAGATACGTTGTTTGTCTCGTTCACTTCTCGGCATCCTCGAACGGGGTAGCATCTTGCCTTGTCCAGTGTATCTACGCTCTGCTGTGGCCAAGTCAGGTTTAAAGCATTATTAGCCTGACAGTTTTTAAGTTTCACTTTTAAGTATTTGTATATAGCGATTGAATAGTTTATAGGTGTCAGCTTTTATCTTTACAGATAAAATATAACAAACCTGCTGAGTTAAATGTATCCCTGCACTTATGTAATTACTCATTAACAAGAGCCACCCTACTGGGTCAGGCCAGCTTCTGACCCATGCGCATACACCCTGCACAGGTTATAGATCGGGAAAGCCACATTTAAGAAAAATAGAGTTGAAAGTAGTGTGGCTCAACCGGCAATGGGCATGGTTGAGTGATCGTATGAATGTGGCTCTCCCGGCAATGCGCTATTAGCTAATCCATGTTACCGTAAATAATGGGTATCAAATAAGGATATATTCATTATGTAAAATCAAGAAATCTAATTGAATTGTTCGTGAAGAAAAGTCCAGATCACGCAAACTAGCTGCCTCACGTAGGTACTCAAACACCTTTTATGATTATATTTATGATCTAGGATTAACGCCGCGAAAGCCACAAGGTCCTTTTGTCCTTCTGCCTCAGTTTGTCTGGTCAGCTTGCTTTCACACATAACTTGTGGACAGTAATATAGATGACTTCTGGAGGATCACTACGATTTATCTAGTTGTGTGGCACTTTTGGATGTGATGAGGGTTTCATTATCCAGAATAACCGATGATCCTTGACCGCATAAGTGAATGCTAAATTCATTGCCACACAGCGGGTTACTGAACATTCCTATTGAATGGTTGTTATCAATGTACAAAACATACTTGGCTGTCATGTGTAAACACTAGTAGCGCTGTGTGTGCGCCACCCACCAACATTCACCCCACATCCGATACTACATTATAACGCATTTATCTTGCTCTGCGTCAGTAATGAGACTTGGGTTCGAAGCCCCGAATGTTCATGGGTTGAGTATCTCGATCAGGATGAAAGTGAAACACATATTGGACCCAGGTACGCTTAATAACAGTGTATGAAATAAGGCCCGTCCGACTGCCCGAGACGGGCTACATCTCTGAAGGACGGTCTAAATTTACAGCCAGCCAGCCCGATGATCTGGTAAAACTTTTAGATGTTCCATACATATCTTGGTGTCTGGTCTGGTTAAATCCATATTGGGCTGGTAACATTTTGAAGTTACCAGCCCTGATGTCTGACTGGGTTTTTTGGTTTATTTCATACACTGTTAATAATCATCGATTATAAGAACATCCTCAGATTAGAGGAATAGTCGATTTTATATGTGTATATACAACTGGTATGTAAACCCTTAATACTTAATAAACCGCTTACACATCATATTTATCAATTAAATATTGCAATAAATTTTACGAACATTAGCAAACGTTTACGACGTCGATTGTGACGTCGTAAGTTTCACACAATGTGGTGACATAACGAAATAAACCATGAGGTCACCTATGACCGATATGTATTTAATAAAATAGCTTATACTTGAAAAATATCTCCTGCAATATGTGTCCCTGACAATATTATCTTCAGCTTGGAAATCCCCTATCCCATAAGGCAGTATTGACCCACTGCCAAATGACATGGAAGCTGCTTGTAAATCTGATTCACATGCATATAACCCAGAACATGTGGATAAGATACACGATTAACAATTCCTTGTTTTAATTAGTATCTTCATCGCTTTTAGTCTGCATTTTACAATACCTGTTCAGTTTAGAAACTTTTATGTACACAATATACGTGTGTGACCTATTTGCTACGGGATGCACGCTCTTAAACGCTCTTAACATGCATAAGACTTAAATTTGCTTTCAGGAAGACATGTAAGGAACGTATTTGTCATACTGACTAATTTATCCCAATTTCAGGACTTTAGATTCAAACGTTTTTTTCCACACATATTGTTTACTAAGCAGACAGTTATGATATTTTCGGAACAGACTATAGAAATAGCTGAGCATAATGATATGCGATTTGTGTTTTTTTCCCACTGAAGATTCCTGCGCAGTTTGCGATTATGAAAGTGCATTTTATCCTTACACTGTATACTGCAAAGGTGGGGTTTTAGCGTTCTACATGAAAATACACTTTCAAATCAACTACTCAGAGCACTTCCCCTATCCAAAAATCAAGGGACTATTTCTCAAAGCGGAAGGATAAATATCATTGCAACATTGCGGTCAAAACATGCAAACTGCACGTAGCAAACAAAGTGTGGAAGAAAATCTAGTGTTTTGAAACGTTTGAGGTAGGTTTCATTAATTAGAGGATAAAGACAATTTTCTCCATGTCTATACTTGGTGATAGTGTATTCAAAGGCGCTGTTAAGGGCTTGTTGTTTGTGCCTGCAGAGGTAGTGTCTCCGTCACCCTCCTCTGACAGTCACTTCTTCTCATGTGAACCGATAAGTAACCCAACAAATTTTGTGATTCGGTGAATGTCTGATTCTATCTGTATGGTTTATTTCCTTTTTTGGATTCTATGTCAATTAATTGCAACGTTTTAAAATCTGACATTGCTTGATTTTTGTCAGAGATGTGTAATATCTCAGTTAGTATATTTTTGGAAGTCAACACCATCTTGTCGGCACCTGACGCCATATTGTTGTCCGTGAGACGGAAGTCGAAATTGGGTGATGATAATAGCTGTTCATTTGTGTTTTTGTTGATTTTTGATATTTAAAACGTGACTATGGTGAGCAACTTCAATAGAGACGTGTTGATTTCATAAGATTCTGTCATTTAAACAGATTTTGACTTGGTTTACCGCTTTTCTCAATAGTTTGAAACACGGCATAATCATCGGCTCTCGCGAGTGGAACTACTTTCTTACTACCATAAGCGTTGGGCAGTACGCGTATAGTAGTAGATGTGAAAGATACGACTGCAAGGTGTTTATTGACTGTTGGTAATTGACATTGAAATGTCTAAACTTTAGTTACTTTGTCATGAATAAATGTATCATGTGGAATGACTCTCTACAAGTCTTGTAAGCGTTAATATGACATTTACGGGATTCATAGAATGTTATATGCATATGAGTCGTCGGCACAAGGGGTACTGGACATTTTGTACACCCGGAGATCCGTATCCAACCTGTTCAGGTAGAATCGTACACATATGGTGAATAACGGGGGGATTTCAATTTGCAAGGTAGATGACCGAACTCGGACAGTTTGAAGCTTAGCTTGACTAATGAGTTCGTCTAAGTAACCTACACCAGAGCAAGTCATCAACACCTGATTGTTTACTTTTCATGTCAACTTTAGCCAAGTTATTGAAGTAGCTACCGTTGCCAATATACTGCACGCAGCATTTTATTCCACATTACAACATTTGCAATAACTCGTATAGGTGTCCTTGACTCAAGGATAATGTACTCACAATAATCAGGCTAATCAGTGGTGTATAATGTCAGGTCTCGCTTCTGTGATATCCTAAACTTATCTGTTTCTCACAAAGGTCATTGCATTGCCTTATACAGATTGAAAATTTATATATTTCGATTATAATCAACAATCATTCTTCACAAGTCCTCCGATAATCGATAGTGGATTTGGTTTCCGATTCTCCACACTAAACCCTGCTGAGCAGGGCTTCAGTGTCCTATACAGAATACACACAGCAAGGTGTAATAGATTTTACAAGAAAAGACTGAATAACATGATGCTTTTGAACTTATATGCTCGTGATACAGCAAACATTCGATTTCTGGAAGAGTATCAGCACCTTCCGCAATAGAAAGAGGAAGATTTAATGGTATGATTTTTTTTTTTTGGAAATTACATTGTGTCAGTGTCACAGGCTGATCGCGCTGCTCATGTGTGTCACCAAGTTTGTTGTGGAAGAAAATTGCACGACAAATATCATTACATTTGACATTCAACCAATATAACTTGTTGAAATTTTCAAGACAAGTCTCTACCATTATGGTGGATATGAGTGACTTTGTCCTTGTTGGTCCAGCTACCTTCACATGCTCCCATTTGCTGTTTGTTTTGGAGCTGAGGCTTCATACTGCCCGTTACAGTGTCTCAACAATTTCTCATAGAAATTCATTCTGATTTATAACTTGACAAAAAATAATTCTTCTTAAGTAAGGTGAACTATGGAGCCTTGTATCTATTTACTCACTCATCATTACAGACCGCCACCATATAGCTGGAATATTGCTGAGTGCGTCGTAAAACTCGCTCACTCCTCGCTTATCGTATATGCCATCAACATAGATATATTGAATGTGCACATGCTAATTTGTTAGTAATAATGTTTTGATTGAGCTGTTGCATTCTGTTTCAGGACGAGTTTTGTTTGTGTTTGATGGCAACATGGAGTCGTCAAGTGGAGGATCGAGTGCAACGAGTGGAACGTCTAGTGGAGGATCCAGTGGCGGATCTAGCAGTATTCCCAAGATCATGGTGTTCAGACCCACCATGGAGGAGTTCAGCAACTTCCCAAAATACATGGAATACATTGAGTCACAGGGGGCTCACAAGGCGGGCCTGGCCAAGGTAACATGCTACTGTTGTAGACAACATTTTGCAGGGTTGACCTAACATTAATGATTATTTTGTAATTACCACAGGAAAGAGGTACATTCTGTTTGTGTTAAGAAAAGTCTTACCTCACTGTGTAACAGGTGATTCCTCCCCCGGAGTGGAAGCCACGGAGGAATGGCTATGATGATGTCAACATCACCATCCCTGCCCCCATCACACAGATGGTGACCGGCTGTCAAGGGCTGTATACACAGTTCAACATTCAGAAGAAATCACTGACTGTCAGAGAATTCGAGAAACTTGCAAATAGTGACAGGTACAGTGACATCATCATCTTTTATACTCTTATCTTTTGCCTTGTCCAGTGTTTACAGACAGGGATGACACTGACGTGGCTGTCCCTTTTGTCCAGTGTTTATAGATAGGGATAACACTGACATGGCTCTTCCTTGTCCATGGTTTCTACCATATCTTGCCCTGAAGGAGAGACAAGTGAATAGTACAAATCAGGACAAGTATAAAAATAATATTTTTACTTTTTGTGACTATTGATATGAAAATGATGTCATCGCTAAATTCTAACAGTAAATACTTTGATAAAATATAATTTTATTTTGTCATCAAAACTTACAAAGTTAATCTTTTTTAATGGGCCAATGGATAGCCCTAGTTCTTTTAGAGTCGTTGGCTGTGCATCTACAATATACCACCTCTTTTCTCTTTCTAAGCATAGAGATGAAACCACCATCACCCAAATATCTGCCATTACCGAGATTTCAGTTAGGTAAATGAAGTTCAGAAATAGTTCTTAATGACCACTGTATAAGTGCACTGTGATTCACCAACTGCTAATGCCTATAACTAAAGGTCTTGACGACAAGGTTCTGCAAGGGATTTTCTCTGATATGGTCCGCTAGACTGTCTGCTAGGATTTGGGTTTCTATTTTTGAAAAGATTCTATTTTTCAATGACGTTGAGCTTGACTTGAACTGAAAATGATGTTTGATTGAGTTTCTGGAGTAAGATCTCCAGAGCCGTTGGTAACCAGATCAATCTTGGGATGGACTAGTGCCTCTTGATAAAGCATTCAACAGTACTATTCTTTATTCACTGAAGGTATCCTAAGGCACTCAGGCCTGAGTGTGCTTCCTGTATATTTAGTAAGGCTGTAACGATTCACTCGCATATTCGAAGAATCGAACCGTAGCCCTTCATGAATTCAATTCGTTATTCGTGGTCATAAGAACCGAATATTCATGAATATTTACAATTTTTATAAGGGAGTGTGTTTTACTTGAACCCTATGTCCTTTTTCAAAACGAGATATGCAAGAATGCAATATGTACTAGCCTTGTAGTAGCCCAAGTCATGTTAGTTTGCCAAGGGCGGACATGTTACTGTCAACTATAACTATTACATACAAAATGTAGGTGTCATGAGATGACTGGTTATTGATGAGACAAATTAACACTGTCAACATTGGCATTCAATATTGTGCATCAATCATTTAACTACAATATTGTATTCATGAATAATTATTCGTATTCGTTACCTAATATTCGTGATACGTATCATATTCGCAACATAGTGTATTCGTTACAGCCCTAATATTTAGTGTTTACTTGGTGATGATACCATCTCCCTACGGGAGTCTGTTTTATATCATAAGAAGTACATAACGTATCACGTAACAAACATAGAATTTAAACATTACTAAAACATACTTAACAGGTTACAGAACGAGTCACAGATATGCACAGTCATGAAAAATGTCACATTCTACTACTAGTACTAGTCCTGATAGCAGAAGCTGACAGGTGTAGTGTTTGTTGCCAGGTACAAGACTCCTAATCACTTTGACTATGAGGAACTAGAGAGGAAGTACTGGAAGAATGTCACGTTTGGATCACCAATATATGGCTCCGACATTTCGGGTTCTCTCTATGACGAAGATCAAAAGCTGTGGAACATTAATAAACTTGGCACCATCCTGGACTATGTAGCTGGTGACTATGGAATCCACATTGAGGGAGTCAACACTGCATATCTCTATTTCGGCATGTGGAAGACCACATTTGCCTGGCATACAGAGGATATGGATCTGTACAGTATAAACTATGTACACTTTGGGGCCCCCAAGTCATGGTATTGCATCCCACCTGAGCATGGCCGCAGACTTGAGCGATTGGCTCAAGGTAAGAAATGAAGGCGGAATGTGATAGCTAATGTCCTGTGTCATGAATTTATCTTTTGGTAGTGAAAATATTTCGTATAAAGAACTGGCTAATTCAGTCAGATAGAATTCATTCTTTTCACTGGAAAATGGAAATTCAGTCATATTCAGTTTCTGCAGTGGCTTACACTTTCCAGGGGTCATTTGGACCCCCTTAACCCTAAAATTTGGGATCCTTCAAGACATTAAGGTGTTCATTTACAGTATTATAATATAGCTTGAAATAAAAGAATACTACGGGTCTGAAAAGTCAGGAACATCCACAATTAGGGAAAGTGAGAGAAGAGAGACATATCCTTCTAGGGTGCAATTTCACAATTTGCAGCTTGCACTGGTATATGTTAATAATGGCTGGTACAGGTTACCTTTAGTAACAGGTTGCACAACAAATCCTCCAACGTCTTACAGCTGTCATCGTGTGGTTTAATTGGGAAGGAAGTGACTGGAAGTAATATGCTTCTCTCTAAGTGACTTGTTACAAGCAGAAATATTTGTGTACTCATTAATCAGTTACGTAGCAGATTATTTTGTGTGTTTGTTGTCATGGTAGTAAGTGCGGAACACTGAAGTGACCTTTAATGGCAGTTCAGGGTTTACTGTGCTATACATCATCAATAATGGTTACCTGACTTTTCAACTGCAGAAATGATAAGGTGATAAGTAGTCCGGTGTTAGAAATAATCCATTGAGTTATTCTTTTGATAACATTGTCAGTATTCCATATAGTACTGGTTCATTCGTGGCGTTACCAAGACCTCACGTGTTATGTTGGCGTGTTCCAAGTAATATTGGATGGTGGGGTAGTCTTAGTGGTCTAAGTGTTCGCTCGTCACAGTGAAGACCCAGGTTTGATTCCCCACATAGGTACAATGTGTGAAGCCCATTTCTTGTGACCCCGCATGATATTGTTGGAATATTGCTAAAAGCCATGTAAAACCATACTCATCCACCCTCTCCAAGTAATATCAGTTTTGTGCAGTATTGTTATTCTTTTTGATTAGTACCAAGTCTCAGTGGCCATACTAGGACATGTATTGACTTCCAGGTTTTCTATTCCAGGATTCTTCCCAAGCAGCTTCCAGGCCTGTCCAGCCTTTCTACGTCACAAGATGACACTAATTTCCCCGCACATTCTCAAGCAGTACTCCATACCATATAACAAGGTCAGTCTCATCACAACATGACCCTCATGTTCCTGCATACAGTTGTGTCTTACAGTAGGTCGGTCTTACAAGATGACCCTCTTTCTTGTACATTCTCAAACAGTTTTGTAAACTGTAATACACCATATCATGTAAAAAGGTTGGTGACACCACAAGAAGACCGTCATATCTCTACACACAAACAGTACTCCATACCATGTAATATGGTCTGTGGATAACTACTCTAATTTTTCTGACTGATGTCTTAAGTGATGATGGTATTCTTTGTTTGCTAACTCAGTGTACTGTTAATGGATGATGGTCTTCCTTCTGTTAGATTACACAAGAAGCAGGGGAGTTCATGATCACCTTTCCATATGGATACCACTCGGGATACAACCACGGCTTTAACTGTGCAGAGTCCACAAACTTTGCTACAGAGAGATGGGTTGAATATGGAAAGAGATGCTTGCAGGTGAGACACAGCAGGGATTGACATTAGGGCACGTCCGAACGACATTGTCTAGCAAATAGCTGGTCCGTTAAAATCGTATCTGGCTAGCCTGACTAGTAGGGTAGATATTGAATGAATGCTGTTTCAAATCCCCGTATTTGTTTATTTTCAATTTTAAAATGTTTTGCACAGCATCATCTTTTTTCAATATCGAGTAGGAAATCCAAAATCTGTTATTAGACGTGATGTTGTATGCAGTAAGCGATCCGATTGGTGCAGTCATCCCTCGGCAAAACACAGGTATTGGGGTCCATGGATGACCCCCTGAGTTATGAGACATCCGCTTCATACATAACATGGAACAAAGGCCAAGTAAAACCATATTTTCCATGGTCATAGCAGAACTGCAATTTTGTGTATTGTCAAAACTATGTCATGTTGTCGGTGGTGAAAAAAGACTTTTAAATGAAAATAGATATATGTATAGGAAGTAGAGCTGTGTATCGGTGCCTAAGTGGCGAGACGATATATCCTGATACCAGTTTAATGAGGCGAGACGATATATCATGAAAGCAGTGGCAAGGAACCTGTGAGACGATTATCATCACGATACAGTGATACGATACGTATCCCGATACTTTACAATTCTAAAAACAGGACATATATGATAGATAATATGACTGAATCTTTATTTGTTATACAGCAGAATACGTGTTACATTCACATACACACTTAAAAGGCTGTTCATGTGATAAAGTTTCAACATTTAATGCTTAAAGTACAATCAAACATATGCAGTATATCTTGATCTAAGTTTCCCTTGGAAAGTTGTGTTTCTGCACCAATGCTTTCACAGACAATGCAATGTAATTTATACCAGAATCACTGAAAAAAAACTTAAGTATGCTTTCTAAATTTTATCTTCTCTTTCTTAACAAAGCTAAGACTTATAGTTGTTAATAAATGGTGTTATTTGTCAAACAACTAAAACATGTTTCAATTACTTAAAGACAAGTCTTTTACAGTTCACAGAGATTGAAAAATGTTCAAGAACCACTAAACTTTGTTTGATGGTGTCACCATGCACAGATTTCCACAGGATCCCCGCAGTTCGTAAGGCTAAATGGGTTATGTTTGTAAGCGTGTTTAGGCGTTGTGGAAGCCTGAAACGATATCTTACTTGTGTTCAGATCGCTTCACGGAAGTTAAAAGAATCAAGACTACTTACTACTAGTTATAGTAAAATATGTATATGATTGATGACCATAAAGATTTTCCATAACACAACTTGTAACATAACGATTTCTTCCCGGAAGTGAGGTTGTGGTCAAGTAACAATAATATTGTAAGTAGTATTATATTGACATCCACCTCGCGCTGCCAGGAGAGAAATTGTTATGTTATATATGTCATGCAAAAAAATCCTATTGGCCATCAATAAAATACATATTTTACTAATTAGTAGAAAGTAGTTTTGATTTTGTAACTGCGTGAAAACAAACCTAAATAGCATTTATCCACAGACTGGCGGATGTTCTCGACCAGGGCCTTCATTTTGAAAATCGCAGAAAGTCTGTTAGAATTAATGAGATTATAGTTTGTTTTCATCAAGTTAGAAAATCAAAACTACTTTCTACCAGAAGTTAAATATGTATTGGAATCATAACCAAAAGGGTTTTGCATGACACAACTTATAACATAACGATTTCTTCCACGGAAGCGAGGTGGGGGTCGAAGTCACAATACTATACGATAAATTTCTTTGCTACATTCACATGGTTAATGTCCACTCACCAGTATGTAGATACTAGTCAATGTATAAAGCCTTTAAATTTGGTCTTATAATCCCAATTAGTTTATTATCATACTTTTTTATGCATTTTGAAACTAAATAAAAAGCTGACGCCATCTGCTGATACTTATAGTGAATTTATAACAGAACTGTAATATCTAGACATTTTATAGTTTGCCAATGTGAATCATAATTCGCGACACACACCTAGTGTATGTTGTCTGTCTCATTACACTTCACGGCGAAAACAATGATTCTGTTGAATGCTACGACAAATGATTAAAAACAAAATGCAAATATTAAAATTAAAACAGATTAAAGTTATAGGAACAATATCAGGCCATTACCTTGTTTGAGGAATGTATCCATCAATATCCACAAAACTGTTCCAAAATGATGTGTCTTTTAACAGTTTAATATACTCTAAAAAGTGATAAATCTTTTCAGGTATTGGTGTATAGTCTCTCATTGGTCACCCAAGATAGCACAATCGGGCAACTAATTGCATAATGTCCGCCTTTCATTAAAAACAGTAATTTAGTTAGCCAATAATGGGCAATCAATCAATGTATTGCCGGTTAATCCTTTGAAAGAAGGACGCTTGTTTTTACGCGAGACACCGATTAACGGCAGAGTGTATTCAGTATAGATTAGTAAATCTACATACATAAACACTACCTTTTGACAATTCCGCTGTAAGATAAAAGTAATTAATCAATCAGCGCGTTATCGGGTTAATCCTTTGATCGATGTTCATAATGTTGAATATTTACTCCAGACACAAGAAATGCCAAATGGGAACCTTTGTCGGGTAATCTAAGTGTTACCACTAATTATACCTGTTATAAATTCATTAACTGACCATCAAGTGAATGATGATGCAAATAACATGTGTAGGTTTATACCACCTAACACGGGTTACAAACAAGGAGTATTAATTGCTGTATTGCATGTGAAAACTTACGGGCCGACACTGTTTTGAGAATACAAACAGATTTTTGGCATTACATGATTAAATATCGAGGTAAAACAACACAGAAATGGGATCAATTTGATCAGTCATTATACAAATAGGGCCTAACTAATACCAATCAATTGTGACAGAAGCGCCTATGAAAACAAGTTGTAACTCGAAACTAGGCAAAGCAGGAGACAAAATTAATGACAGTAGATTGTGAGAACATATAGCTTTCTTATTTTCCACAACAATTGTCACGATTTCAGGTTTATACAAGCCTGTAAACAAGATAATTTTACCCCCCTAAAATGTAGATGAATTCTGCATCGCCCTCAAAGCTATTCCTCATATGACGCCACAGAGTTCGCTACCGCTTGATTGGTTGAAATTTCGTCGGCGGGTGAGAATTGTGCACTGTTGTCAAAAAGGTCGATTTAAGTCAATTAAAGGTCGAAATGAGTAGTTTTCTTTCACATTCTTTCACTGATACACCAACTCCTTTGCTCATGTAACAAAGATGGCAGACACAAACAAATTCCCATAAGGTTCAGTTTGTTTTTAAAATTTAGAAGTATTTCAAAGAGATTCCCTTCCTAATCCTAATGCAATACTCCTTACAACTTTAAGTAGTATTTAAGTAATACCGGGATATATCGTCTCTTGTGGCGATACATCGATGTATCATGGACCCTTGCAATATACATATCCTGATATATTGCCTAAATGTGTTTTGCATTGATGCCAGGGGTGGAAATACCTTTAAAATTGATAGTGTACTCTAGTACAGTGGCACATGTAAAGTCACTTGCCCTGATAATTTGTCCACTATACCGACCGTTTTCTTGCTGATTATTTAAATAAACAACATAATTAACATTGGAAGGTCAACTGGACACCGGTACAGTGTGATATACAAATTTGCTTGCCCGACAGAAAAAAACACTGGATTCGGACGTCGGCCAATGGGTTATTTCCACCCCTGGATGCACTTGTATTGCGTAGTTGACGATGCAAACATCGATACTATCGATGAATCGCTACACCACTAATACGAAACTTGCAATCAATTATCACAAGACATAATTCAATTGTCCTTTTGTGATTGATGTATGCTTATACATTGAATGAATATTAGAGAAAGATTACTGTACTGCAGTGTGAATCATTACTAGTGTGTACTCTACTGCAGTGTGTGTCAGATGACGTCTTCTGTGCACTGTACTGCGGTGTGTCAGATGGCATCTTGTGTGTACTGTACTGCAGTGTGTCTGACGTCTTGTGTGTACTGTACTGCAGTGTGTATCAGATGACGTCTTGTGTGTACTGTACTGCTATGTGTATCAGATGACGTCTTGTGTGCTCTCTAGTGCAGTGTGTGTCGGATGATGTCTTGTGTGTACTGTACTGCAGTGTGTGTCAGGTGATGTCTTGTGTGTACTGTACTGCAGTGTGTGTCATATGATGTCTTGTGTGTACTCTAGTGCAGTATGTGTCTGATGATGTCTTGTGTGTGATACTGCAGTGTGTGTCGGATGATGTCTTGTGTGTCGGATGATGTCTTGTGTGTACTGTACTGCTATGTGTGTCAGATGACTTCTTGTGTGTACTATACAGCAGTGTGTGTCAGTTGATGTCGTGTGTACTGCAGTGTGTTGGATAACGTTTTGTGTGTACTGTTCTGCAGTGTCGGATGATGTCTTTTGTGTACTGTACTGCAGTGTGTGGCAGATAACGTTTCGTGTGCACTGTACTGCAGTGTGTGGCAGATGATGACTACTGCCTTGTGTGTTTAGGGAACTTATTCTGTGTACTCTGCTCCAGTGTGTGTGTCGGAAGGATGGGGTCAAAATCAGCATGGACACATTTGTGAAGCGGTTTCAGCCAGATCGATATGACCTGTGGAAGGCTGGCAAGGACATTGCCCCACATCCAGAGGAGGACAAGAGCAGGCTTTCCAAATAGTGAGTATCTGTGGAGATATGACTGGCAGGGTATGATTTTGTTGTTTTTCCAGGACCTGCACCGAGTGCAACCTGGCTTAAAGGTTTGACTGCGCCATCAAACTTTTGGTTGCACCATAAAATTATGTCACTGGTTCTAAAAAGTAACATGAATAATTGTTTAGATTTTCATAGTATCAGATACATTCAACAGAACCAGACCCCATGATGATAAATGATGAATGATTCTGTTTCAATTTTGCTTTGTTTATTTGTCAGTCTAAGTAAACTTAGGCTCAGTATTATTCGTTACACTGCTATACTGAGTCTAACAAAACCTAGTAGGAGGTCGCGTCAGATAACCTTTTCAATTGACCAATCAGAACACAGCTTACCAAATCGCGAAAGTTGACATTCACACATACCTTTTAAATTTTTACCTCAAAAAAGTTTGTACCCGAATGATTCAGAATGCTATTTTCTGTACGATCGCTTCTGAGTGATGCACATGGAGCATGTCAAAACAGTGAGTAAACAGTCGCTGAAAATAGCATTTTGTCAGTATTCAAGGATGTCAGCTTGTGGGAATATTAGCTACTGATAACCATGACAACAGAAACCCCAAAGCGTATATACTGCAGGTCAAATATCTGTGTTTTATGGGGTGTTTCGTTTGTTGGGAGATCAGTGTTGGACGGTCATAGGTTGCTGAAAGGTTAGCTGACGCGACCTTCAACAAGGTTTTGTTAGACTCAGTATAGTAGTGTAACGATTAATAATGAGCTTAAGTTTATTTAGACTGATTTATATGTAAATCTTAAATTTTCCTTATCCTGACTCATACGTTATTGCTTATCTTCCTTTTCTTCCGAGGTATAGATTAAACCTCTGTCCTATTGTTCCCAAATGAACAGTCTAAAAATAGCTCACCCCAAACGTGCCTCTAACCTTCCCGCGCCAGTGTCCTGAGTGATCACTGGCTATGTGTCACTCTCTCCATTTTCGCCCTACCTGATGGATGGGTGGAACCGCAGAGGCCCAGATAAGCTGCGTATCTGGGTAAAATACACATAGAAAATTTCCAATTACACATTGAAATATAATTGTTGCGTAGCAATTACGCATTTAAAATGTTAGATACGCAAAAAGTTTAAAACAAATGTGTACGGAATATATTTATAAAAATCGCTTGCGTGATGAAAAAGACATCGATTGCTATCAAGTTGTACTGTTAGTATAGGACAAGTGTTGTACTGTCAGTATAGGATGAGTGATTTTTTTATGAAATCATTTCCATTATATTTAAGTTGGTTTTGATTAGGTATGACATAAGGCAGAACATATCTGCTTAGTAAACTTACTCAATGACATATACTTATGTGAGTAAAATGACTGAAATATGCACATATTTGAAAGCAGTGGGTAACAGAAAATGAAATACCCACTCAACATTCATAATACCCACTCCAAAAAAATACAGTGGGTACAGTACCCACATGAGCTAAATCTTATCTGGAGCTCTGATGCCTCTTGTCCGTTTTTCAACTACTACTCTTACATTTCGGCATATATAATAAAATTATTGTGTACACAGGTATCCTAGGTCCCTTGGTCATCATATTCATGGGTTATATTTGTTGATCACTAGCTAAGCTACGAAAATTTTCTGAATTTTGGATTCAGATCGATGTTGTGTATGCAGATGCAGGTTATCCAAACACGATCAACACCCTGTGTGCTTCACTTGCTGTTCTTCTTCCTGCAGTCTTACTGCTAGGTGTAACGGTTGTGCTCATTTATCAAACACTGAGTTTGATAATTGTTTTGTCCTTTTGAGTAAAAAGATACAAGATCAGCTGGTGACAAGTCCCATATGCAACCGGAACGTGAGTTCGTTCCTTTACTTTCTCTTGGGGATAAAGTTATCCCTTTGATTATTAATGATACTTCATTCCAGTCCTCTATGGAGGTTCTCTCACAGGATTTTCAGGTGTTAGCAGAGAACACCGAACCCCCTGCGCAGTCAGTCTGTGTTAAGAGAAAGTCCCTGGCAGGGGCAGGGGCCTGGGCAGGGGCCTATCTCCTTAAGCTGGTGAGGCTGGAGAAAGCCCCCCTTAAAAAGGTGGTGTAGACCTCTTCTAAGATAGCCGGCGCGCAGTCTCCTCAGCAGTCGATCGACTACAAGGCTGAAGACAAAGAGTTCGCGCTACCTCCACCGGTCCTGGAGCCAGATGTCATTGTGAGGCAGATGCCATCAGCGCTGAGGATCCAACAGGCGCCTGGATCATCTAAGCTGACGGTGTCTGCAGGCGCAGATGATCCCGCAGAAGCAGACCTTCGTGCAGTTGATGACCCAGACGCCGGCCTTCATGTAGGGGACAGCCAGTCAGATTATCCGAGCGTTGTCGCAGATTCCTGCCTTCGCGCAAACGAGGTTCCAGCTACCCTCTTTTGGTCTTCAACAGCCGCAGATGCAGCACGAATGTTTGCGCAAATGCAGAATACTCTGTTCGCGCAGGCTCAACACATTGCTCAGCAACCGATGATTGCAGACACAGATGCAAGGGTTTGTGCAAGCAGAGAACCCCATACAGCAGTTGGATTTGGTGGTTTCCATTACACAGCAAGTTCTTATGGCCATGCAGCAGCAGCAGTTACTTGCATCTATGGAGATGGGTAGACTGATCAGCCAGTCTTTTCTTTCACCTTTGGTTGACAGGGATTTCCAGCAGGACAATCTTAGCAGCTTTGCAGCTTATGAAGTAGATGATTTCTCCTTCACGTAGCTGTCTTTGGGTTTAGAATCTGAAGTAGTAGGGTTGCAGTCTCTGTCAGCTCCAGAAGACGACCTGAGCGCAGATGCAGATCTTTCTTCAACCACAGTCGGGCAGACATCAACCCAGACTCCAGCCTTTGCACAGGGTATCGCCAGTCAGATCATCCGGACTTCAACACAGATAGACGTTCCAGCAACCCTCTTCTGGTCACCTGCAGCCCCGGGTGCAGACGTTTGCACATGCACAGCCTTCTCCTTTAATGCTTTGTGCAACAGTCGTGATGCAGACGTAGATACAAACTTTTGTGCAAACTTCACGCAGCAGCCGAACTGGGTGGCATTTATCACCAAGCAAGGCGTTGACGTGCAGCAACATGTATGGATGTAGACAGAGTGCAATGCCCTTGTGCAGACGTGATTTACATATCATGTGTCAGCAAGCTCCAGGGGCTACAAGCAACTCGTTGTGTGCGAAGTGACTTAGACTACAGCCCGAAGATAATGTGCAACTTTAATTTATCATCATCATGGGAATCCTAAGAGCTCCCACAGCCTTGACAGTGATTAGACGACAGTATGTCTTACTGTGCAGATCAATGGAAGTTTACACAAGTGGTCTGCCCTGATTGAACAGACATTGAGGGCAAACGAAAAGAGAAGAATGGTGTATTACCATTGCATATGTTGACATCCCATGCATGGTTTCATCAGCTCTTCATTGAGTTTATACATCAACAGTGGGCAACTGTACTTACGAAGAGAGCAGCGAAGCGGGAGCCAGGCAGCATTATAGCGAGACAGTAACCCTGCCTTAGCACGTGTTGCTCTACGGCGGAAGGGCAACACCTGATAAACTGATTTCCCGTCAATTACAGAAGAATTTTAAGAATTCTGAAGTGGTCCACCAGCATGAGAGACGCTATTGGCAGGGATCGTATGGCAAGCATAGTTCTACAAGATGCGTATCTACACATACCCATTCATCAGAGCCGAACTACAATCTGCATTTGTTTGTAGACACTTCGTATCAAGGTTGGGGAGTTTTCTTCAACTCACAAGTAACAGCAAGGACCTGGTTTAGAGAAGAAGAATTTCTTCACATCAACTAACTAGAGTGCAAGAATGTCAGAAGTCCAGATACCATCAAGTACCAGAAGATTGATGACTGAAGATCCAAGTTTGCCTCCCTCAAGTGCTCAGTTTCGAATATGGCAGGAGATCCTTTGTCTACTTATGTCAGCGAAGGCTAATACTCAGAGAGGCAGACTTCAGCTGAGGCTCATTCAGAGGTTCCTGATACCATACCTAGATCGCCAGGATATTACAGTAACATTACCTCTACACCTGAAGAGGTACACGAAGAGGTACCTCCAGTGGTGAATGGTCGAAGGTTCGCAAAGGCACCTATTAGCAAGAACCAGTCTACAATCTACATCTTTATGTAGACACCTCACTCCAAGGCTGGGGAACCCACTTCGGTGCAGAAGTAGCTGCAGGTTCCTGGTCCAGGGAAGAATGAGATCTTCACATCAACCAGCTGGAATTCGAGGCAGTCATCAGAGCTATCCGGCACTGGTCCTGTCTCCCCAGTAACCCATTCCTGATGATATCAACGGACAATGCAGCAGAAGCATTTTACATCAACCTGCAAGGCACGACAGGATCGGCACACCTGCTAGAACTAACCTTCCTACTCTTCGAGCTAACACTCTCAACGTGGAGGTCAGGGCTGCCCACTTGAAGACCTCTTTGTGACAAGATTAAGCAAACAGATAAAGACCTTTCGTCTCACTGGTTCCAGATCCACTAGCCTGGTCACTAGACGTCCTGGCCATATCTTGAGAAGGTTTCCTACTCATTCCCACCTACTGTACTACTACCATGAGTCATAAGGAAGATCGTCCAGACGAAGATCTCGTTACTGACTTTGGTAGCGCCTTCGAGAACGCGCCTTCCATACCTCATCAGACCTCTCGGAGAGCCAAGTCTACGACTTCCGAACTGGCCCAGTCTACTGATTCATCCGCACACAAGACATGTTCACGCCAATCCCAAAGGTTTCCAGCTATGCGCATGGAACGTATTGCGAGCTGCCTCACAAGAAGAGGGTATTCTACTAGAGCAGCCATGGCTGTCACCCTAGTTCTCAGACGCTCTACCAGAAATCTCTATGATGACAAGTGGAAGAGCTTTTACCAGTTTGCAACATGCAAAGGTGTTCTCACCAATCAGGGCTATGCATCCTCCAGTTGCAGAATGCTTGGTACCTAGCGGCCATCAGTTCAATCCTCACCACGAATTTGTGAACTCGTACACTGCTCAGATCTTTTAAACTGGAAGATCAGCAGAGGACGTTTAAGGCAGTAGCATGGGACTTGAACATAGTCATTCAACACCTAACCAGCTATGATTATGAGCCATTGCATCAAGCAGACTATGAGTTGCTAACGCAGAAGACGCTGTGCCTCCCCACACTTGCTACAGCTGCCAGGATGTCAGAAATCCATGCTATAGACTACAGCCGAACTATGTTTGATACACGTGACCAGCCAGCAGTTCATCTTAGGCTTAGATGGGACTTCATCGCAAAGAACCAGCTACCAGGACAACCAGATAGACATCCACATCCCGGTGTTATCATCCATCCTCTGATCAGACGACACTCAGGATTAGTCCTTATGCCCAGTGAGAGCCTTGAGAATGTACCTGCAGAGAACTGCTGTGAGGAGAAGATTCAAGTGACTCTTCATCCTGCTATCACCCGCTACGTGTACTGAAGTCTCCAGAACAACAATCTCCTTCTGGCTGGTGGGGGTAATCCTGAGGGTTTACAAGGTAGCAGGACTGGGCCATTTACAAGGCAGCAGGACTGGATCTGCTTGGAGTCTCCAATCCCCATGAGGTTAGAGCCATTGTGTCCACTTTAGCTCTACACGGCAACTGCTCCATCTCGCCAAACACTATCTCAGGGACATTGCCACTGAAGATGTTCCCGGTATCCACTAGTTTGGCACTCAAGTTGTGGCACAGCAGTTGACAGTCCCAGCCAGGCAATAATTACAAATAATCACGTAGACTCCTAGACGTCAGGTTACTGTTCCATAACCACCGACAGAGTCCATGCCCTTCTGCTTTACTAGATAAAGCAGCGCATGAGTGATATGATTCAGTTAAGTTTACGACCTATTCTTAACATATGGATTGGATCAAGACAAGCAAGAATCTAAAGTACTGTCGGAAATAGAAAAAAACTGTTTTTAGTCTGTTACTCTGTATCTCTAAAATTTACACAACTGCAAATAGCATATGTCGGAATAACCCACTTCGGCCTTACTGGTCGTTCAGTGGGATGCGTAATAGGATATCCAGAAAAGCATGTTTACTCGTAAAATCGGGCAATACTTAGACAAAATACGAATAGCTGCTGAAAACAACAGATTAGACTATAGATCGCAATTAGGTCGCTCAGCCAGGTATGACGACAGACCGTCGACTCACCTGGCATGAAATGCATGTGCTGCCTACAGGCACAAGGGGTCATCTCAAAGATATTTTGTGCTTTTTCATATGGATGCCTCATCTATTGATTAACATCTTACGTGTCATTCTTTCATAAAGTTTATGTTGAGATATGTAAAAGAGTATGATACCTGATAACCATAGAAAGGCATCGTATTAAATGTTCAAAATATATAGGTGGCATGACCACCTGATCGCTAAGATCGGCAGGACGGGATATTATTTGTAAATTGTTATGACATGCCCAGTATAATTGTCCTAAAGGAATATCTTATCTTAGCTGATATCGCTATCCCTCAGCCCGACCCCAACGATCGTCTGTGACACCCATCCAGGTTTTGCTTTTGAGACGAACCCTCCTATCTGTTTCTTTTTATAGTGACAGTGAAACTCCATGGTAGCTACATCCTTAATAGTTTCAGCATGAAAGTTATTATTTTTTACGCCAGCTATCGTTTATAATGAAGCTACGTCTAATTTCAAATTGGGCATTTAAAAAGTGTCCTTTGTAATACAATATCGTTGCACACTAATTTGCATAAAGCCATGGTCTGTTCCAAATAAATTGTTTTGGACTTAGAAAAACCCTGCATTGCTCATTTCTGCACTAATGTCTCCTCAGTAAAGTCCTTTTTCTACGTTTCCTATTTCCCAACCACTGAGACTGTCGTTAGGCCGAACTTATTTTAACAGATATTTCACACTTGCACATATCAACTACATAAATTGTAGAGATAAATGAGAAAATACTTTTTTTCTATTTCGGACAGTACTTTAATACTCTGCGACTTTTTGCGAGTCTTAAAAATCCAAAGAATCTTATGATTCACTTCTTTTACCCAAAAGAAGGTGGTCCCCTTTGTATAGCTGCAGTGTCAGAAGATTGAAGAGATGCCAGGGGGTGGATCAAACAGTATCAGAATCCAAATAGATGGCTGACCCACCACCTGTCTGTCAGATTCAAGCAATAACATGTTAGTCAGGATTAAGAAAAATATGTAATTTTTATGATAAAATTGATATATCTGAGGGCCCTCCCATCTGTCCCCTCTGATACACTATTTGGCTTCGGTCATGATAGTTGGGCGTTATTGGAGACAGTCACACATAGCCAGTGATCACGTGGACGCTGGCGCGGGAAGGGAACAGGCCCGTTTAGGGTGAGCTATGTTTAGACTGTTCGTTAGAGAACAATAGAACAGAGGTTTCCACTTTAACGCAGAAGTTAAGGGAGATAAGCAATAACGTACGGGTCAGGATAATCATAAAATATCAATTTTATCATTAAAATTACATTTATATGATTACTTATACACAACTGATTTATGAGTACACAAATGTTTATGCTTGTTACAAGTCATGCGGAGTGAAACAAATTACTTACAGTCGCTTACTTCCCAAGTGAAACACATGATGACTGCTATAAGATGCACCGAGTGCAACTGTTACCGAAGGTAACCTGCACCAGCCATTTTTAACATGCTCCAGTGCAGGTTGTAAATAGCGAAATTGCTTTGATTGGATGACATAGGTAGAAGATGGATGTTACACAGTGCACTGTGTAGGTAGAAGTGTAAGATATTGCACTGTAAGATATTGAGCTGGTGTAAATATGAGTGTTAAACTGAGCAAGTGCTAAGCAGGGGGAAGATAGGAGTTTCAGAGGGCACTCATCAGGCAGAAATACAGGTGTTGTTGGGGTCACTATGTAGAAAGATAGCTTAATCTTTACAATTCACATAACTGAACTTGAAATGGTTTTGATAAGCTAATTTTATGTTGACAGGTTTCATATACAATGTCTAATCATCACATGTTGCTTTCAGTGATTCAAGGAAAATACAAGCTAACAGAGCAGGAACTGTTTGCACAAAACGTCACCCTGTATCTAAACTGGATGATGTGAACAAACGTGGACGGAAGAAAAAGACTAACCCGGAGAAGGAAGAACAGGCTGAAGAGAAGTCTGGAATTGTTGATGTCAAGGTAGAAGAGAAGCCTGCCACCGTGGACGAAGAAGAAAAGAAGAAGAAAAAGAAGAGAAAGAAAAAAGACCCTCAGGATCAAAAGAATAAGTTCCTGGGTTTGTGGGGAGATGAGGATATGACAGAAGAAATGAAGGAGGAGTTAAATAAACAGGAAAGAAAAATGGAGGCTGAAGCTGCTGCTCGAAGGAAGATAGAGTTTTATCTTAAAGATGTGAAGAAGCAAGAGGGTGAAGCCGAGGCACAGGCTGTCAAGAAAGGACCTACTTCGTTCCAGGCTGCATTTGAGCAGTTATTGAATGAACCACCGAGTAGTATGCCAGAAAGCCCGGAGCCAATCACTAAGAAGATGAAGAAACCAAGCCAGTCTCCAAGTTCGGATGGAGAACCGCCAGCTAAAAAAAAGAAAGCTGGGCAGGCTGTTCATTCTGTGATTCCACTGGATCAGATCAAAGCTCTAACAGCTGCTGGTGACAAGATAGGATTCCTACAACAACTCAATGACATGGAGAGGAAGAAACTGCCCAAAAGTCAACTCCAGTCGTACCTTCAACAAGGAAATAACATAACAGAGCTCAGACACAAAATAGAACAAATAGCAGCTACTAACGAACAGTTCAACAAGACAATTTCTGCTAGCTCCTCCTCCTCATCACTACATCAGGGATCCTTAATTCAGAACGGTCATGATGCATACTCACTACCACATCACACAGGTGCTTCCAACTGGTCAAGTCCTCCATCTACAACTGGCAATGTTGGGTCTGCTGGACTTGGCAGTCAGCAAACCCATAATGGGGTGCCGTCTGGAATAAGGCCTATAGAGGCTGTCTATAAGAAATCACAACAGAAACGAACACTTTCCAATATACACAAAAAGCCGGCCAAAGTTATTCCACTTGCTAATATCTCACATATACTTGGTTGTCGAAGTATTTCAGAAGTTGTTGGTAGTGGGGTTTCTGTACAAGCTGATGTCCCCGACTTGAAGACTGTATCTGTTTGTCAGACGTCAGTCCACAGCAGTGACATGGTGTTTTCGTCCTCGCCCAGTAACAACATGCATTCATCTCACCTTCAGCAACAGCTGCAACAACATCATGCACAGTCATCACCACAACCACCTAAACTGCAACCAGTACAGAACCAACAGTGTCCACAAGACACCATTCATGAGCATCCCCCTCAACTGTCACCCTCACAGCCACCGGTTCTGTCTCAGCAAGCTGGCTTATCCCACCTATCTCAGCAGCTCCTGCTGCAAAAGATGAACCCTGAGGAACTTCTTCAGCAGTACCAGCTTAAGCAGCAGAAGAGCAAGTCTCAGCTGGAAAGGCAGCAGCAGCTTTTGCAGAGGATCCAGGAACAGCAGCAGTCACCTTTGCTCAAGTCCCCAGCGTACAAAGATTCCAATAAAACATATCACCACCAGTCAGCTGTACAGATGACAGCCAGTCAGTTGTTGGCTTCCAATGGACAGACAATGAAGTCTAGTGTTACATCTCCAAATCAGCAATATCCAGTCCTTCACAAGGCAGTGTCGCCTCAGCAGCAGAGTAGTACATACACCGTCCAGAATGTCAGTCCATCACTGGCCTCACAGTACCACCCTCAGACCACTTTGTCTGATGGTAATATGTATCCCACTCAATCTGCTGGAGTCACTGTGTCGGTACCTGTCATGAATCACTCACCTCCTAGAACCGCCATGCAAACAACACAAGTAACACCTGTGTCCTTCTCTCCACAGCAGCTGTTGAAAGCATTGTCTGCCCAGGCAGCACAACAGCAACAGGCAAATGTTGTAAATGTCCCTAATATGGGTGGACAACAAGGTCAGAAATCGGTTCAAAGAAATATTGTCAGCCAGTCGCAACAAATGTCAGGTGTTCAGCCAGTGACTAATGTGCTTCGCGTTTTATCTGGTGTCTCACAGCCACAAATAGTGGCCAAATCAGGCAAACAGCAGAAGTCCCTGCTGTCTCCATCTCAAGCAGCTGCCATCAAGCAGCAGCAGGCTCAGTTCATACTCCAGGGAGTTTCGCAGATTCACCCTACAGGTACTGCTGTGACAACCAAACACAGGACTGTTGTGGGGACTTCAAGCACAGTGCCACAGGCAACTATGTTAAGGACACCTAATCCACCAATACTTGCTACCTCTCATACTTCCAATGTGAAATCTGTGCCAGGAGTACACACTCAAGTGTCCTTGAACAATAAAGCTGGTACCACATTAAATATTCCCAGTGTGATCCCCAGCATCAGTGCTCAGCAGAGTGTCCATCAGTCCTCAGCCCAGCAGCAGCATGGAGCAAAGCAGGGCTCATCATTTACCACCAGCTACATATCTGCTAGCTCCACTCCTGGAACTACTGTGCTGTCTCCTGTCCAGATCCAGATACCTCAAGCTGAGGCAGTTTTACCAGGATCATATGAGTCCCCTGCTGCATTCCTTGCTAGTGCTAATCCTGTACTCCCAAATGATGGAGGGAGTCTCTCCCTGCTTGCAGGAGCATCCATGCGGTCTACCTCAGATGCCATGTATAACATGCAACATGATGGATCAACACTTAGCTTGCATTCTGCTTCTCAAAGAGACATATCAAATGTGAACTCTATGTTAAATGTTAGTAGTATCCATCAAACCAACTCCTCGATGAGTTCAAGATTCCCTTCTCAGCAGACTGGCGGTGTCGGTAGTTCCATGTCCTCTTTCCTCTCATCATCGAACAGTGACTTCCAGTCACCTCCGAAACTAACTTGTGTCAATAACCAATTATCGAATATATCTCATGGAGTTTCAGTGTCTGAGCTCTCTAGTAGAAGTTCCATGCATCAGCTCGTTCCCCAGCCTATTGTCCCCGCAACACAGGTTTCACCAACCACCCACTCCTCAGAGCCTGTCATGCCCACCCTGTCACCTCAGCTCCACAGCTATGCTTTACCACCTTCCTCCACTAACACTGTAGCGAAGAGGAGCCTCCACTCAAGCTTGTCTCAGATGCAGCCGTCTTCACTTGCTGGTTACAGTGGTGTTGGAGACCACATGTATATGTCCCAGTTGCCCATTGCTCGGTCAAGTGATGAGTACACTTCTGGTGATGACAGCCTGCTTGGGCGTGGTTTTTTTTGGATGGACGAGGCGATGGTATTATGCAGTCCCCATTCTCAGGTAACAAGGTATATGTTGCAACTTTCTTCAGCATTTTTGCAGAATTTGTCAACTGGGAGGTAAGAGAGCTTTATCAGGTTACAGAAATTTTCATATTTTGCCAAATTCCATATCTTGGCATGCTTACTGGAGGGTTTTTCAGAATTATCAATTTGGTCACTCACTCACATCTGATAACGGAAACAAAGATGTGACATTGATAGTTATTCCTGATCGTAATATGAGCAATGGAAAGAACAGGTACTGATAAACATTCTGTGGTAGTGTCTCCACTGCTAGGCCTGATACAGCGTCTTCCCAGTTATACTGTGTTTTCATATCTCATGCTCACAATGCACTGATCATGTTGATAAAGAAGGAACAGTTTATTTGCTGTGATATAGGTGATGAGTTCAATGCAAACCTCTGCAGAAATGCTTTCTCTATTAATGTTGGTGTGTCAAGTGTGGACATTAATCCTCAGTTTTTGTGGGAGTACAGCAGCATGCTGGTCAACTACAGTGATGTTCAGTGCATGATGAGAAAGCAGATTTAATCATTGTACATGCATGCAAATGATTAACATGAGTTATTTTGTGGCTTTAAGTTACTTTTCATAATCACAATAATAATAATGTTTAGTGTTTGAGAATATTGTGCGTGGTCAGTGTGTTGTGTAGTGTTGCATGTATTGTGTGATTCTGATCCCTGTGACTGTCCAACTACTTCAGGTTGCTGTTACCTCTGTTTCAGGATTCTTCCAGTGGTACTAATGGTACTGATTCCATCGCATCGTCTGACAGCTCGGATACAACCATTTGTACAAAGAAAACTAATAAACATAAAGCTAGTAAACCTAACAATAAGCTAGAATCACAGAATGACACTCCACTATCACTTACATCGTTACTTTCATCCAAGAAAGAGTCTGATATCAGTAAACCAACAAGAAAGAAGAACTCTTCTGTTCCTAAAACAGCCAACCCAGAAGAATGTTCAGGTAAATAGTTTTGTCTGTATTAAGTTGTTTAATGTTTAGTTAACTTTTTCTGGAAAAGCTAGTTATGTACACTGATCTTTTCACAAGTTGGTCTGTCACTATTCTGTAGGTGTAAGTCACAGTAGTGCTTACGAATACGTCCCTCTAACGTTTGATTGCCTTATTTCCTTAAACTTGTTTCTGATCTACAGGTTTAACTTACATTGAATTTTTAAACATCCCTCATCTTGTGTTGTCTTACCTGAGCATATCCCTCGAACCCTCTGAACTGAACTCAGCCACATACTCTTTCGAAGAAATAGTCATAGCCCTAAGTTTTGTTTCCGGATTCAATGCCGATGATGTCAGATCATGAGGAAATTGCGTCTGTTCAAGACCCAGGAGAAACTAAACCTTCACAATCATCATTTCAAACCAGTATGCTCAAGGACTTAAATGAAGACATTAATTGATTGACGAATCTAGATCGACTTTAAAGTCGGCGTTAAAAGGATCAGACTTGTGTGCGTCTGTTCAAGTCGAGCACCTTGTGATTTGAGATAAGCAACATACAGGGACTCAACTACTAGAGTACTTGCTCCCTAACATGCAGCTGATGACCCTTCATCTGTGAAGTCGGAGACACATCCCTGATGCTTCCTGGGTATCTAGACAGCATGGCTAAGGTAGTGTTCTACTCTCAAGCCTCGTTACTCCCAACCACTTGGCGCACTGGAAGTCCTCCGTCTGAGGAAAGTTTCACAGTGCCGTAACTTCAGTATCCTCTTTGCACAGAGTTGATTTATGGCAAGACAATATGAGCAAGCCCAAGATCCCAGCCAGAGGTTACGGCAAGAGTTTCATAGCCAGGGCCCCTATTCTTGAAAGGATCCTAGCCCTAGGATATCCTAACTTTGATCCTACGGTCTATGATAGGTGTCCTACCTTATTCTCGAAAAGTATCCTAGTGCTAGGATATCCTAACTTAAAACAAATACTAGGACAGGTTCTGACTTACCCTCAGTCTATCTTGGTGGAAATCAGCATGGTGTGGTACTTGTTTGTTCACCAATTTTGACATTGTCAAACAAAATGACAATGTCAAAATTACATTTGAATTTACAAGAACACACAGTTTTGATGATCTAAGAAGCGTTTTTAGTTTATATTATCAATTTATCGGCAATGAATAGACATACTTGTTTCAATACACATATTCTTTAGATCTTCAAAAGAGATTTGTTCAATTCGTACCTATTCTATCCCTTTTTTCCACAACATTGCTCTTTTCTGACACATTGCTGTGAAATGTAAATGTCAAGGCCAACTTGACAAGGGAAATAACTGTGAATTTTCACTTTTGAGATGGACGCATAATGAGAGTTCAAGTCATGATTTTCATAAAAAACAAAATTAAGATGTTGTTTGCACATATCTTACTGCATTTTTTTGCAGACTTTCAAACTCTGAAGTAAAATTTATACCTCCTTGCTAAATAAATAATTCTTTTTTAGAAGAAGTCCTCCTTGGGGTACATACAAGCATTAAAATGTCCATTTTAAAATCCTACGACAGTTGTAACAATATTTTAATACAAAATAACAAGTTTTTGTCTTGTGAGACCACCCCTACATTCCCACCCAGGGCCCCCTACAGCCAAGAGCAGGTAACTCTCGCCATCTACCTCGTACCTCACTTTTCATGCTGAATGTGATCAAACAGAATGTGGGGAGGTGGGTGGCCTTACCCCAAAGAGGGCTTTCTTCCAAGAATCAGAAACCTCTACAGGTTTGTTCGATTCGTTTTCAGAAGAAGTCCTCCTTGGGTTACACATAAGCATAAGACAGACTCCCATGGCATAGATAGTGAGTCGAGAGTGGCATTCTGTCTTTTGGTCTCCTTTTCCGATTTCTGGTTACCAGGAAGGATTCAACAGAACTTAGAATTATCATCTACCTGAAGATCCTTAACTGAGAATAAGTGAGAAGAAAACTGAAGTTTCAGATGGAATCTATGTGGAATCTCAGACAGACCTATTTCCATAATGGACCCAATGATCTCCATAGATCTACATGAACCTATGCATCTTCTGGACTCACATGGGCACAATGTGTGAAGCCCATTTCTGGTGTCCCCAGCCGTGATGTTGCTGGAATATTGCTAAAAGCGGCGTAAAACCAAACTCAGTCAGTCAGTCAGTCTGGACTCACAGAAATATCTATGCTATGCTTTCAATGGGAGACTATTCCAGGGTAGAGTTCTACTGTTTTGAAAATCAGTGTCTCCCTGGCTATCCATGATGATAAGATCCCCGGTACTGGTGTATTTAATAATAATAGTAGTAGTTCATTTATATAGCGCCTAGTATCCATCTGACTTGTTGCTCACTGGACACTGTAATCAGAATCTAATTATTTTTACCCTGGATAATCCAAGCTGCCTGTGAGGCGCTAGAAGGTTTATATTCACATGACTTATCTCACCGGGTACCCATTTTCTGCTGGGTGAACAGAGGCAATTTTGAATAAACTCACTTGCTTAAGGTGAGATCACATGTGCTTCTTTCTGGAGCAGGACTGAAGTCTTCGAAACTCTCAGGAGACAAGCTGCCAAACACGGTCACCCATCCAAGGACTTTCAGCGCTCGACCTTGCATAACTTCAACTGATTCATAACCTGAGCTTTACGCACAGGAGCACACACCACCAGAATTTGTTAGATGACTCCCTATATCAGAGCGATTTCTTATGGGGTTCCTATTGCATCCAGAAAAATCAGAACATCAGCCCAAGAATGTACAGAAGTACATAGGGGCTGTATTTGACACTCTGCAAGTAATTGTTTACCCACCGTTGGAATGCTATAAGGATGTCACAACCCTTATCAGTTCTCCACATGTTCACAGCAATGGATGTCGCTATTAGAAGCACTTGCATGTATGCAGGTTATAACATTCTGCATCTCAGATTCATTCAGAATTGGATCAGTCAACATCTAGGGAAACAACTAGACTCTGTCATGATACCCTTGGATCTTGTGTTCAAGAACCTTGCATGACGCATGAATCCCAGCAACAGCATCCGTCAGATTTCAATCAGGATGCTGTTACCAGATCTCTTCACTCACTCATAGGATGGTAATCTCGAAGACAAGATGGCATCATGTCTTTGGGAGTTAGATATGATCAGTCCATATCATCATTTTGGAGAATAGAGTGGTCTTACTAGCCATCCAGCACTGTGCATCAATCCTCAGGAAGTCTTCACTACAGAATGCCAAGGTAACATGCCCTTGCCATACTAAGAGGTATCCATTCTCAAGTCTTCATGTAACTTATGAGAGAACTTTACAACCTAGTGGACAGTCTGGATTGCAACCTCACATAGACTTGTTCGCAGCATTACTCAACAATCAGTTGGCAGCTTATATCAGTTCTGTCCCAGGTCCTCAAGCATACGCAGGGGATGCCATGTTAACATCTTGGGAGTGAATGATTGAAACAATTTACATGGTCTTTTGAAGGTTATTGCTCAGCTATTTGAACTAAAGGAAATCTAAAAACAACATAACTACGATTTCAGAACTGCATGCCCTGGATGTTAGATAGCTTTCATTCCTGAAAAATCCTTCCAGAGTTATAATAAGGGCATAACCAGAATTCCTTGTCAAGAATCAAAACTTTGCAATGGGATCTCTTGGACAATGGGTTTTCACTATCCTTTCTCTGGCTCCTACATTGGATAGTGATCTTCTGGACAGACTCTCATGCCCAATAAGACCTCAAGCCATACTTACACAGGACTGAGGCACTTCATATAGTGATCTTCTGGACAGACTCTCATGCCCAATAAGACCTCAAGCCATACTTACACAGGACTGAGGCACTTCATATAGTGATCTTCTGGACAGACTCTCATGCCCAATAAGACCTCAAGCCATACTTACACAGGACTGAGGCACTTCATATAGTGATCTTCTGGACAGACTCTCATGCTCAATAAGACCTCAAGCCTCACTCCTGCAAAATAAGATAACACAACATTTTACTTGAGGTATGTGACCCAAGACATTCCGGGATTTGGGAAGGGGGCAGAGAAAATTGTATATGCCAAATGTGTTTGTCACTTTGAGAAGTGATATCAGGGATGTTATTCAAGTTCAACCTGTGGATCAGAAACAAGTTTCAGGAAATAAGGCAATCAAGTGTTAAAGATAGTATTCTCAGAATTGTTATCATTTTGATAAAACTTCAAGTTTGTTATTCGTGGCAGGTTCACTCGCTAACTCTCTTTGTTATCCCCTGCCTTGAAGTGGATATGGGGACGTCAGAACAATCTTTATTCATCTATGTTTCCCTTGGTCTGTCCATCCATGTTTGTGTTTCCAACCTTGCATCTGTTTGCTTATCATTGCACATGAATTTCAAGAAGTGAAAATTTGCATAATGGTGTAACTGGCTACGATCTATAATGGGTTTAAAATTTTGTATTAAATTAATGTTTTGCAGATTGATGGCATTTGCAACCTAGTGCATGAAAGTGATAGTTACGCAAATGAAAATTTGTATGCTTAAGGCAAAGATAATAGTGAAACCTTAGAAAGTGCGGCCTAAAACAATATCTTTCTGAGATTCTTCTTTTTCTGTATGTTTCTTAATCTTGAAAATACACAATGACAGACATTGTGTCTGAATTGGAACAAGTATTCTCAGAAACTACACAAGACTCTGAGAAGTGGCCTTTTGTATGTATATATTTTGCATTCAATATTTTAATATGATGTGAAACTATAGGTTATCACCCAAGTTTCTTCTTAGGACTTTTTATGACTCCATTGTGTATAGTTAACAAGTACTTCCTTATTATTCTTTACTATATGAACAAACATAATGTTTTAAGTGCCCGCTGAGGGGGATAACATTGTTTTCATTTTCATATGTACAGAGAGTTCAAGCGATTCCAAGCCCCAAGCTACTGTGGCACTCACAGAGCCATGGGCTGCACCCATTCGAGCACTTTGGCATGAACAACCCCTCAATTTTGAAGCTGAGAAGAACTTCAACAAGTTTCTGTCCCACAGAACCCCACACTGTGCAATATGTGCAGTCTTCAATCCTGTAGAGGTGAGTCATGCTTCTGTGTATTCTTCACCCCTGTCTTTACCTCTCTATAAGCTGGGGTGGTCGGGTAGCCTAGTGGCTAAAGCGTTGGTTTGTCACGCCGAAGACCCGGGTTCGAATCCCCACATGGGTACAATGTGTGAAGATTTTCCCCGCCGTTGATGTTGCTGGAATATTGCTAAAAGCAACGTAAGACCAAACTCAGTCAGTCAGTCTGTATAAGCTAGTGTTGTTTCAGTGTAGTCTTTACCCCCTTATAAGCTAGTGTTGTTCAGTGTAGTCTTTACCCCAGTGTAGACTAGTGTTGTTCAGTGTAGTCTTTGCCCAAGGATAGACTAGTGTTGTTCAGTGTAGTCTTTACCCCAGTGTAGACTAGTGTTGTTCAGTGTAGTCTTTACCCAAGGATAGACTAGTGTTGTTCAGTGTAGTCTTTACCCCAGTGTAGACTAGTGTTGTTCAGTGTAGTCTTTGCCCAAGGATAGACTAGTGTTGTTCAGTGTAGTCTTTACCCCAGTGTAGACTAGTGTTGTTCAGTGTAGTCTTTACCCAAGGATAGACTAGTGTTGTTCAGTGTAGTCTTTACCCAAGGATAGACTAGTGTTGTTCAGTGTAGTCTTTACCCCAGTGTAGACTAGTCATTCAGTGTGGTCTTTACCCAAGGATAGACTAGAGTTTTTCAGTGTAGTCCTTAATGCAGGTGAGTTTGGCCTCTCTGTAGTCCTCAACACAGCACTTACGGGGTACAGTGAAGCTGACTTTACAGTCAGACCAACTATTTGCCATTATGATCCATTTATGCAAACTGTTACATGTATATTATTGTGTACGTTTGTCACTCCTAGTTGACATCAATAAATGACCCTGTTCCTGTTATTATATATTTTGTCTTGATCTGTATATGTGAATTCTTCTCATTACAGAACGAATTCCAAGGACTAGATTTTGCTGATGTGTCCACTTTGAACAACAAAGTTATGACCACGATCCCTAACAGGTCCAAACCCCTTGTACCTGAGATCTGTTTCTCAGCCAGCAGTAATGACCCTAGTCCATTTGCTAGCAACCCAATCCTGGAGGCTGATGGTCAAAGCCCTCTCCTTGTGTGTCACAAGTGCAACATCTGTGTCCATGCCAGTAAGTATGGTGTGTGATCAGTGCTACATCTGTGTCCATGTCAGTAAGTATGGTGAGTGATCAGTGCTACATCTGTGTCCATGTCAGTAAGTATAGTGAGTGATCAGTGCTACATCTATGTCCATGTCAGTAAGTATATAGTGAGTGATCAGTGCTACATCTGTGTTCATGTCAGTAAGTATAGTGAGTGATCAGTGCTACATCTGTGTCCATGTCAGTAAGTATAGTGAGTGATCAGTGCTACATCTGTGTCCATGTCAGTAAGTATAGTGAGTGATCAGTGCTACATCTATGTCCATGTCAGTAAGTATAGTGTGTGATCAGTGCTACATCTGTGTCCATGTCAGTAAGTATAGTGTGTGATCAGTGCTACATCTGTGTCCATGCCAGTAAGTATGGTGTGTGATCAGTGCTACATCTGTGTCCATGTCAGTAAGTATATAGTGTGTGATCAGTGCTACATCTGTGATAAGTGCTACATCTGTGTCCATGCCAGTAAGTATATTGTGTGTGATCAGTGCTACATCTGTGTCCATGTCAGTAAGTATATTGTGTGATCAGTGCTACATCTGTGTCCATGCCAGTAAGTATGGTGTGTGATCAGTGCTACATCTGTGTCCATGCCAGTAAGTATGGTGTGTGATCAGTGCTACATCTGTGTCCATGTCAGTAAGTACATTGTGTGTGATCAGTGCTACATCTGTGTCCATGCCAGTAAGTATGGTGTGTGATCAGTGCTACATCTGTGTCCATGTCAGTAAGTATGTTGTGTGTGATCAGTGCTACATCTGTGATCAGTACTACATCTGTGTCCATGCCAGTAAGTATGGTGTGTGGATCAGTGCTACATCTGTGTCCATGTCAGTAAGTATATAGTGAGTGATCAGTGCTACATTTGTGTCCATGTCAGTAAGGTGATCAGTGCTACATCTGTGTCCATGCCAGTAAGTATGGTGTGTGATCAGTGCTACATCTGTGTCCATGCCAGTAAGTATGGTGTGTGATCAGTGCTACATCTGTGTCCATGTCAGTAAGTACTTTTGTGTGATCAGTGCTACATCTGTGTCCATGCCAGTAAGTATATAGTGAGTGATCAGTGCTACATCTGTGTCCATGTCAGTAAGTATATTGTGTGTGATCAGTGCTACATCTGTGTCCATGCCAGTAAGTATGGTGTGTGATCAGTGCTACATCTGTGTCCATGCCAGTAAGTATGGTGTGTGATCAGTGCTACATCTGTGTCCATGTCAGTAAGTACATTGTGTGTGATCAGTGCTACATCTGTGTCCATGCCAGTAAGTATGGTGTGTGATCAGTGCTACATCTGTGTCCATGTCAGTAAGTATATTGTGTGTGATCAGTGCTACATCTGTGATCAGTACTACATCTGTGTCCATGCCAGTAAGTATGGTGTGTGATCAGTGCTACATCTGTGTCCATGTCAGTAAGTATATAGTGTGTGATCAGTGCTACATCTGTGATAAGTGCTACATCTGTGTCCATGCCAGTAAGTATATTGTGTGTGATCAGTGCTACATCTGTGTCCATGTCAGTAAGTATATTGTGTGTGATCAGTGCTACATCTGTGTCCATGCCAGTAAGTATGGTGTGTGATCAGTGCTACATCTGTGTCCATGTCAGTAAGTACATTGTGTGTGATCAGTGCTACATCTGTGTCCATGCCAGTAAGTATAGTGTGTGATCAGTGCTACATCTGTGTCCATGTCAGTAAGTACATTGTGTGTGATCAGTGCTACATCTGTGTCCATGCCAGTAAGTATGGTGTGTGATCAGTGCTACATCTGTGTCCATGTCAGTAAGTACATTGTGTGTGATCAGTGCTACATCTGTGTCCATGCCAGTAAGTATGGTGTGTGATCAGTGCTACATCTGTGTCCATGTCAGTAAGTATATTGTGTGTGATCAGTGCTACATCTGTGATCAGTACTACATCTGTGTCCATGCCAGTAAGTATGGTGTGTGATCAGTGCTACATCTGTGTCCATGTCAGTAAGTATATAGTGAGTGATCAGTGCTACATTTGTGTCCATGTCAGTAAGTATTGTGTGTGTGATCAGTGCTACATCTGTGTCCATGCCAGTAAGTATAGTGTGTGATCAGTGCTACATCTGTGTCCATGTCAGTAAGTATGGTGTGTGATCAGTGCTACATCTGTGTCCATGTCAGTAAGTATAGTGAGTGATCAGTGCTACATCTGTGTCCATGTCAGTAAGTATGGTGTGTGATCAGTGCTACATCTGTGTCCATGTCAGTAAGTATAGTGTGTGATCAGTGCTACATCTGTGTCCATGTCAGTAAGTATAGTGTGTGATCAGTGCTACATCTGTGTCCATGTCAGTAAGTATAGTGTGTGATCAGTCAGTAAGTATTTTGTGCTGTGGTTATGGCTGTGCAAGTGAGTGAGTGAGTTTTACACTGCACTCAGCAATATTCCAGCTATATGGCGGTGGTCATCCAGTGATCAACAGCATGAACATCGATATGCACAATTGGGAACCGACGACATGTGTCAACCAAGTCAGCGAGCCCGACCATCCGATCCTGTTAGTCGCCGTCTTACGTCAAGCATAGTCGCCTTTTGTGGCAAGCATGGGTTGCTGAAGACCTATTCTACCCCGGATCTTCACGGGTCGGCTATGCCAGTAATTATGGGGAGCTATGTTTTTGTTGATACCCAAAGTATATTGTGAATGGTATGTTAGTGCCCATGCCAGTTAGTGTACTCTGCTGTAAGGGTTATTATCGTATCGTGTGCTGTTTGTGCTATGTTTGTGTCAATACCAGCAAGTATGGTGTGCTATTTTTTTCTGGATTTGGGGTAAGTGCTATATAATTGTCACCATATCAGAAAGAAGGTAGTATGATTTCAGAATTACTTGAAGAATTGGCTTCAACTCTTTAGTTAGGTTGTTGTTTTGGATGGTCCCAGTTGTTGGATGGTGCACTAACTAGTTGGGCAGAAGTTTGATTCTTCCCTGGCAGCAAAATAGTGATGTCACTTAGTGTTTCTCTTTTTTATGTTTCTTTGTTAAAGGGCCGGTGTGGTAGCCTAGTGGTTAAAGCCTTTGCTTGTCACGCCAAAGGTCCGGGTTCGATTCCCAACATGTACAATGTGTGAAGCCTATTTCTGGTGTTCCCCGTCGTGATATTGCTGGGATACTGCTAAAAGTGGTGTCAAACCCAATTCACTCACTCACTCACTCACTCTATGTTAAAATCAATGAAAGAAGAATGCAAAACATGTCAGTCAGAGTGGAACTTTTATGAATTGCAACTGAAACTAAATTCTACCTTTGTTTTTCATCAGGCTGTTATGGCGTTATTGAAGTGAATGCCGAGGAAGTTTGGCGTTGTTCACGATTGTGTCAACCACATAACACAGGCGGTAAGTAAGCAAATCTTTCAGCCAATAACACAGAAAGAAAGTAAATCATTCAGCCAATAACACAGAAAGTAAGTAAATCATTCAGCCAAATAACACAGAAAGTAAGTAAATCATTCAGCCAAATAACACAGAAAGTAAGTAAATCATTCAGGCAAATAACACAGAAAGTAAGTAAATCATTCAGCCAAATAACACAGAAAGTAAGTAAATCATTCAGGCAAATAACACAGAAAGTAAGTAAAAATAACACAGAAAGTAAGTAAATCATTCAGGCAATGCAAAGAAAGTAAGTAAATCATTCAGCCAAATAACACAGAAAGTAAGTTAATCATTCAGGCAAATAACACAGAAAGTAAGTAAATCATTCAGGCAAATAACACAGAAAGTAAGTAAATCATTCAGCCAAATAACACAGAAAGTAAGTAAAATCATTCAGTAACACAGAAAACAAGAAAGTAATCATTCAGCCAAATAACACAGAAAGTAAGTAAATCATTCAGGCAAATAACACAGAAAGTAAGTAAATCATTCAGGCAAATAACACAGAAAGTAAGTAAATCATTCAGCCAAATAACACAGAAAGTAAGTAAATCATTCAGGCAAATAACACAGAAAGTAAGTAAATCATTCAGCCAAATAACACAGAAAGTAAGTAAATCATTCAGGCAAATAACACAGAAAGTAAGTAAATCATTCAGCCAAATAAATAAGCACAGAAAGTAAGTAAGCACATCATTCAGGCAGTATAAGTAAGCATATCTCATTCAAATCATTCAGCCACATGACATGGGTAGTCAGTCAGTCAACCACATTACACAGACATCATGTAAGCTGGTATTCGAACACTTTGTGGACCAGGTTTGAAGCCGTGTGGTTCGTCTATAGATACACAAGCAGACATTGATGACCCGAGGCAGGGCGGTACGGTGTCTCCGTCTTCCCTGCAGGTTGCGTGGCAGTTTCTGCTCTGGTGAGACCAGTTCGCCATATGCTCTCCTAGGTTCTGTAGGATAGCCTAGTGGTTACAGCGTCCGCTCTTCACGCATAACCCGGGTTCGATTCCCCACATGGGTACCATGTATGAAACCCATTTCTGGTGCCCCCTGCTGTGATGTTACTGGTACATTGCTTAAAGCGGCGTAAAATCAAACTCACTGTTTATCTGCTGGGCACAAACAACGTTCATGCAGATCCACTTTCACGGTGTGTACTAGCCCTACACGAGTGGATGCTTGATCAGGGAATATTCAGGTTTGCTTCCCAGTTGTACGGGTCGTTACGGGTGGATCTGTTTGCCTCTGGGGTGACAAACCACATCCGGTGTTTGCTCCTGGATTCCGGATCCGAAGCTCGATTGGATAGACAGGGTTCTGTGGGTGTTTCCACCGACACACCTGGTTCCCAGGGTTCTCTCGCAGCTTGTCACCCAACCAGCTCGACTACTTGTACTTCTTTGGTCAGCGCAAGACCGGTTTACGGTAATCATCAGGTTGCTGCCTCAGCCTCCTGTTCCATTACCCTTTCAACCGGAACTGCTATCCCATGCGGAGCGCCCCATATGAATCCCAGGATTCAGTGGGTGGCTTGGCCTCTGTCCGGAATCGCCTCTAAGCAAGCAGAATTCCTGCACTAGTTGCAGACAAATTCTGGCTTCGCGGTGGGATTCGATTTAGACAGAGTATTGTTTTCCCCCGCAACGCGTTTTGCGGGGGGTATTAAAATGGACTCCGTCCGTGCGTCCGTCCGTCCATGCCCATTTGTCTTTTCCGGAAGCAGAAGTCTAAAACCGTTCAATGTTTCTTCACCAAAGTTGGCACATAGATAGATCTGGTGGTGTACTGGTGCCTTTTGGTAGTTTTGGAATTCTGAATAAAATATTTTTGGCGTTTCCATGGCAACAAGTTTCACTTAGACTGAAATTGGTGATAGTGCTCTTTTCTGGAGCAGAACTCTAAAACGTTTCAATACTCTCCTTCCACTTTTCTATATACACACCTAAATATTTGACATAATCATAACTCGTAGACATAATCATGAAGAGTATTTTGCCATGGGGATATTGATGAATTTGTCTTCTTGGTTTTTTTGCAATCTAGATGAGAAGCCGGCTTCGCCACTTCTTCTATCAGAGGCTACTCCACGGCTATTTCTGCTTTTCACACACCTGCCGATGGTGTACTGTCGGGGCACCACCTTCATTGTGCAGTGTGAGAATCCGACCGGCTGTCTGGCGGATTAGTCCCCAGTGGGACTTGTCAATTGTTCTTGACTGGATGTCCAGTCCTCTCTTTTTCGATTTGTCAGCTTTCTCTCCAGCTGTTAAGTTGGAAGGCAGCTTTCCTTGTGACGGTTTTGTCTGGCAGATGGGTCGGCGACATTCATGCATGCAATGTCAGCGGATCCTGAGCTGACCTTCTTTCACAGGGATAGGGTCAGCATTAGATTGCCAGACTCTTGTAGCCCCTCTTTCACGTAACGGCGCCTATCGATCTGTGGCTTTTACTCAGCCTCCTTTGTCCAGTACCTCTCTACGACGTGATGCACCTCTCTACGACATGATGCATTTCGGCGAGCAAGCAAACCAGGTCTCTCGTCTCTGCCATGGTTTGGTCTATATTCCCATGGGTTTAATTCCCCAGATGGGTTTTAAACTCATTCGGATAGTGCAGTGACCATATCAAAGGCGTATGACGCGGCACTGCCCATTGTGAAGATCTGCTCAGCTGCTATTTAGAGCCGTCCAAACATGTTCATCCTTGCCTATCAGCTGGACAAACACTCACGTGCACGTGCTCGATTTGGCCAGACTGTTCTCCACACAGTGGGCGGAGTTGTAACTCTTTAGCTGTTTGAGCTCTCGAGATTACATCATTCTGCACTTTCTGGTGTTGGGTTATGTCATTTCTCATTTTATCGGTTATGGTATTTGGTGGTGATATTTTCCTGAACTTTAATTTGGCTTTTACGGAGTTGTAATGGCTTCACTCGTAATTTCCACCCCACCACGCTTCGCTGGCTGGGTGTATGTTACTGTAAATATTGTTGTTAAGTCCCCCATACTGTTCCAAATTGTTGGTTGGGAGGTGGGGTTGATTGATATGCTTCTAAGCCAATCAGCGTATGAGCTTGGCATTTCTACTCCCTGCCCTAAACCAATTGACATTGGCGGTCAGGTGAGTTTAAGTGTATCTCCTCCGGTCGGTGGTAGATTCCATTGGAAAATGGGTTTAGTTTTGTCAGACAGAATGCCACTCCCGACTCACTATCTATGGAAGTCTGTCTTATGCTTATATGTACCCCAAGGAGGACCTCTTCTAAATAAAAGAATCTAACAAACCTGTAGAGGTTTCTGATTCTTGGAAGTAAAGTCCTCCTTAGGGTAAGGCCACCCGCCTCCCCACATTCTGTCTGATCACGTTCAGCATGAAAAGTGAGTGAGAGGTAGATGGCGAGAGTTACCTGCTCTTGGCTGTAGGGGGCCCTGGGTGGGCCTGTAGGGGTGGTCTCACAAGACAAAAACGAGTTTTTTGTTTTGTAAATATTTTTTATAAAAATATTGTTACAACTGGTGTAGGATTTTAAAATGGACATTTTAATACTTATATGTACCCCAAGGAGGACTTTCTTCAAAGAATTAGAAACCTCTACAGGTTTGTTCGAATTTATCCACAGTACACAGACAGTAGATGCTATCATCAATAAGAAATAAGTCCACCATGCTACACTGACAGCAAGTAGACACAAATAAGTAAAGTTTTGATTGGGCAAACAAGTCCACAATATTACACAGTACATTACATGAATGTTACATAGACACAAGTTGGCTGAAGGTCCTGTTTTCATACATACAGTGTAAGTAATATATATGTGTCCCTCATAATGTCATATAAGCTTGGTGTCATGCTTGAGGCTTTCCCTTATACAGGACTGTGGCTTGTGTTTCCTGCGAGGTGGTGCACTGAAGCCCACTACTGATGGCCGCTGGGTACACATTGCTTGTGCTCTCACCACCTCCGAGGTCAAGTTCCTTGAAATCGAGAAAAGAGAACCTGTTGATATTTCAAAGATACCTCTGCAAGATTCAAACTGGTAAGAAGACAATGTACAAGTATTCCGATTGAAACTTTGTGAACTCACAGAAATCTGTCTTGATAAATTAAAATTATTTTCTCATCCTGACTCATACATTATTGCTTATCACTGGTTAGATGGATTTCCCCTCATCCTACAAGCTACCGCTCTGTTATTTCAACCCATATTTCCAAATTTATGCTTGTCTCCTGTTTTAATCTTATATCCTGTTTACACGATGGGTTATATTTGTTAAAGTGCGGCTATTTAATTAATAATTTCTGACTTGTCAGAACGTTGTTTACATATGAAAACGTGCTGTGTGTGCAGATACAGAATCTCAGTTCATGATTCACTTCCTGTGTGCTCTTCATGCCGTAATTATACCTGTAACTTAAATTCAAGGTGTAATTTTTGTGCCCATTTAGAAGAGTCCTTTCAATTGTTATTTTGTGTCATTACTGAGAATAAAGATGGACCTAAAAGGCGGGAAAATCCCAGATTGTCGACCAATGCTGTGTCACCGAAAGATAAGGCTTACAAGCAATCTGCAGAATGTGTGTTCATTCCTTTACAGTCCCCTTGGGGCAGTATTATGTCTGATACTATATAGATTCCTTTCAGTCGGCTGGTGAGTTTCCTGCGCAAGGATTCTCAGGTTGATATAGTATACTCAGATACTATTACGCAGTTTAGCCGATCTAAGAGAAAGTCCCCAGTGGAGCACAGGCCCTCGTGTCTTTGCGAAGATAAAAGATTAAAAAAAATTATTTTTTTTAGATGACTCCCGACTCTAAATGCTACACAGTACAATATATTATAACAAGGCCGGACACTAATGTGTAACCTACCCGCCTGCTTTGCCGATCGCTACGCTACCATCGCATGCAATTGATTAAAATGTAATGTGAACATAACGATGGATGATTGGCCTATTGATCTCCACTCATGACACCTACCAATTCCTTATTGTTATTTCTGCAAGTTGATTGAAACCCGATTTTGACTCTCAACTAAACAATCTTGCCCATAATCACATACTAGTAGACATCAGGTTACTGTTCCATAACCACCGACAGAGTCCATGCCCCTCTGCTTTACTAGATAAAGCAGCGCATGAGTGATACGATTCAGTTAAATTTACGATCGACCAAGATAAGCAGAAATGTAATTCCTTGAGAGTCTTAAAAATCCACTAAATCTTATGATTTACTTCTTTTATCCCCCTGGCATGTAATGTGGGGGGATATAGTCCACGCCTCGTCCGTCCGTAATCATTTTGTTTCTGGAGCATAACTCAAAAACCGTTTAATATTTTTCAACAAAAATTGGTAGATATATCAAACAGAACCTAAGATGGTGCCTTTTGCTATTTACAGATTTTTGTCATTTATCTTTTTCTCGGGTTTCCATGGAAACGATTCGGACTTAGTCTCAAAAGGGAGGGGTGGGTTTCGTTTCTGGAGCACAACTGGAAAACTTCTTAATATCTTTCAGCAAAACTTGGCAGATATGTGAGGCAGATCCCAAAGTGGTGCCTTTTGCTATTTGGCATATTTTTGGCATATTTATTTTTCCCAGTTTCCATGGAAACGATTAGGACTTAGTCCCAAAAGGGAGGGGTGGGCTTCATTTCCGGTGCACAAGTAGAAAACCATTCAGTATCTGTCAACAGAACTTGGCAGATATATTAGGCAAATTTTGAAATGGTGCCTTTTTGCTAATTACAAATTTTTGGCATTTCTCATGATGTCCATTGAAACGATTTGGACTTGGTTTAAAAATAAGTCAAGCTGGACTTTAAGTAAATGTCATATGATTTGTTCTTTCACATATGTAGGGGCCGGGGGGATATTTCATCTTGTGATGACTCTTGTTTAAATAAAGGAGGTGGTCCCCAAATTTGTCCGCAGTAATCTGAAGAGTGAAGAGTTCCTAGCAGGTGGATTGAACAGTTATTGTATCCAAATAGATGGCTGACCCACCACCTATCCATTGGATGCAAGCAATGTCAGGATAAGGAAAAAATATGTATTTTTCATGATAACAATGATATATTGTAGACTCATAGTCTAGGTGACCACTCAAATGTCCCCACCTCTCCACTGTTTGGCACATGTCAAAAATACCTTCGGCCCATTTGGTTAGAGCTATTTTTATCCCCCCCCCCGCAGCAAGTTTTGCAGGGAGTATTAAAATGGACTCCGTCCGTAATCATTTTGTTTCCGGAGCATAACTTCAAAAAAAAAAAAAAATCAATATTTTCAACAACAATTGGTAGATATATCAAACAGAACCTAAAGTGGTGGTGCCTTTTGCTATTTACAGATTTTTGGCATGTTTATTTTTCTTGGTTTCCATGGAAACGATTTGAACTTAGTCTTAGAATGAGGGTGACCTTGTTTCCGGAGGACAACTCGAAAACCGTTCAATATCTTTCTTCAAGACTTGGTAGATATATCAAACATAAGCTAAAGTGGTGCCTTTTGCTATTTGCAGATTTTTTTGTATTTTATTTTCTTGGTTTCCATGGAAACGATTCGGACTTAGTCTACAAAAGGAGGGATTGGTTTCATTTCCGGAGCACAACTCGAAAATCTTTCAATATCTTTCAACAAAGCATGGTAGATATATCAAACAGAATCTATTTTTATTTTTATTGGTTTCCATGGAAATGTTTTGGACTTAGTCTCAAAAGGGAGGGGTGGTTTTCCTGTTTCATCACGAAATTTCATACATAGGTAGGTCTAGTGGTGAACTGGTGCCTTTTGCTAGTTTTGTATTTCTAAATAAAATGTTTTTGGTGGGTTTTTTTCATTTCCATGGCACTAATTTTGTCTTCAACTGAATTTAGTGGTAGTGCTCCTTTCTGGAGCAGAACTTAAAAACCTTTTAATACTCTCCTTCCACTTTGCCATATACACACCAAAATATTTGACATAACCATAACTAGTAGACATATTCATGAAGAGTATTTTGCCATTGCGGGGGATATTGATGACTTTGTCTTCTTGTTGACTGTTCATTAGGGAACAGTGGGACAGAGGTTTCCACCTCGGAAGGAAAGGGAAATAAGCAAAAACGTATGAGTCAGGATAAGTATAAACTACCATTTTTATCATAAAAAATACATTTCCTTGTCCTGACTCATACTGCTTGTCTTTGATTTATGATGGAAACGCTGTGTTATGCTCCCTAAGAACATCTAACTCAAACGTACCTCTCCCCTGCTTGTGTGCACTGGCTCCCAACACAACCAGCTGGGGACTCATCACTCTCAAGCTTCATCCAAAGGGAAAGTTTGGGGAAGATGGCTGTGTTTTTCATCCAAGCCACCTTATCAAAATTGATATGTTTTTAAACAATTTGGTTTGGATTATCTTTTGTTAAGGTTTAGTTCATCATTTCTACAAGCGGTGATTAATTAGTTTGTGATAATATGTTTGACTTCATTACAACAGCCTCATCTTCTTAGCTCTGTTAATTTTATACACACTAGTAAGGCTGTAACGATTCACTCTCATATTCGGTGAATCAAACCGTAGCCCTTCATGAATTCAAATTGTTATTCGTGGTCACCAGTTCCGAATATTAATGAATATTTACGATTTTTTTAAGGGAGCATGTTTTACTTGAACCCTTGTGTACTTTTGGAAAGTGAGATATGCAAGGATTGAATATGTACTAGCCTTGCAGTACCGCAAGTCATGTTAGTTTGCCAAGGCCGCACATGGTACTGTCGATTATAACTATTACATACCAAATTTGAGTGTCATGAGATCACTGGTTATTGCTGTGACAAATCAAAACTGTCAACATGGGCGTACCATATTGTACATCAATAACTTAACTACAATACTGTATTCGTGAATAACTATTCGTATTCGTTACCCAATATTCATGATACGTATCATATTCGCCACATAGTGTTTTCGTTGCAGCCCTACACACTAGTGCGTCATGGCAACTGATATATCTGTTCCATCAAGGATTGATGTTTCTGGAAGTCTGATACACTCACTCACTCACTCGTCACAAAGAAATAAATTACGATGTAATTCAGAGTGAAGCGATTCATTTAAATGTATGACCTATTCTTAGCATGGATCATCCTAAAACGAGCAAGATTATAAGTTCCCTAGGAGTTATATGAACAGTACATGAATTTAAATTTATGTAGCAGATTCAAGCAAAGAATATGAGTCAGGATGCGGGAAAAGCTGTGTATTGTCTAGAGTAAAAGGATTACTTTATACTTATCCCTACACATGCGCTAAAGTACCCTCCCAGCATTTTTCTTGAGGTTAAGTGCTGCCTTTGGATGTCTATGGATTTTATATTTTTACACTTTTGTGTGTTGGTTTTGATAATGACAAGATGGGCTTTCTGAAAGTTCCTATATATTTGTTATACAAATCAGTCTTGTGGTGATGTGGCCCTTTTGAATGGGTTGGAATATATTTTCAAGGTCACCACGACCGTTTGACCACTTTTGAAACTATGTAAGTGCGATATCTCAAAAAACTTTACACCCAATGTCTTCAATTAGGTCAACAACATACATTGAGTGATTACGCAGACACCAGTCATTTCAGGGTGCCTTAACCTTATTTTCAAGGTCACATGACACTTCAAAATCTCTCCCATCTCAATATCCGGACCGTCATGATCATGTGACTAATAGATTAAACAATGTAGTGTGTTATTCTTTTATGATTAAAAGGTTGTATTGTCTTTGAAGATTTAGACATAATTTACAGTCAACTGTTTTGATTATAATATATGGTTATGGTATTGAAAAACTCCAAATTTTAGCCTCCTAGCTGAAGAATATATTGCCATTTCTTACAAATTTGATGTCAGGAATGAACGTAACGGGTATCAGGGTAGTGTAGGGTAATAGGGGTGGGGTACCTGGGTTGAAACTTAGAACGTGTCTCAGCTCTAATACACATTGATACTGACAATGGATATGTCCATCTGCATCTATACATTCAAATGTACTATATTCCTGAAATATTTTCAGAATTAGACTGACTGACTGACTGAGTTTGGTTTTACGCCGCTTTTAGCCAACTTTCCAGCAACATGACGGCGGGGGACACCAGACATTCAGAATTAGACTGACTGACTGACTGACTGAGTTTGGTTTTACGCCGCTTTTAGCCAACTTTCCAGCAACATGACGGCGGGCGGGGGACACCAGACATTCAGAATTAGACTGACTGACTGAGTTTGGTTTTACGCCGCTTTTAGCCAACTTTCCAGCAACATGACGGCGGGCGGGGGACACCAGACATTCAGAATTAGACTGACTGACTGACTGACTGAGTTTGGTTTTACGCGCTTTTAGCCAACTTTCCAGCAACATGACGGCGGGCGGGGGACACCAGACATTCAGAATTAGACTGACTGACTGACTGACTGAGTTTGGTTTTACGCCGCTTTTAGCCAACTTTCCAGCAACATGACGGCGGGGGACACCAGACATTCAGAATTAGACTGACTGACTGACTGACTGAGTTTGGTTTTACGCCGCTTTTAGCCAACTTTCCAGCAACATGGCGGCGGGGGACACCAGACATTCAGAATTAGAAGATTCTGAGAAGTGACCATGACTAAAAACTACATCACACCAAAGATAATCTTCTTTGTGACCAAAAGTTACAAACTAGTAAATATTTATTGTTTCATTCTTCTATAGCGGCAAGGGATATTGCCATGTTAGTGGCAAACACTTGTTTGTATTTGTGTTTGTCCTCATGACAAGTTTCACTTGCTTGTCTCCAGAGCATAACTCAAACAGTATGAAATATTTCCTGATGATTCTTGCTATCAAGATCACACTTGTGAATCAGTGCCCTTCGATGATTTGGGGTATTGAAAAGTACTGAATAGCATCATTTTATTCATTGAACTGAAGGTTTCAAATGCCACTAAACAAACTTTCAGACAACTTCTATTAATGTTCATCCTCCTGACTGATATAGCACCTGTAACCCTGCATATTAATGTCTGATGCCATCGACTGTAACCTAGATCAATGTCTGATATCACTTGTAACTCTGCATATTAATGTCTGATGCCATCGACTGTAACCTATCAATGTCTGATATCACTTGTAACCCTGCATATTGATGTCTGATGCCATCGACTGTAACCTAGATCAATGTCTGATATCACCTGTAACTCTGCATATTGATGTCTGATGCCATCGACTGTAACCTATATCAGTGTCTGATAGCACCTGTAACCCTGCACATTATGCCTGATGCCATCGACTGTAACCTATATCAATGTCTGATAGCACCTGTAACCCTGCACATTATGCCTGAAGCCATTGACTGTAACCCTGCACTTCATATACCTCTTTTATCATCTCCAGTAAACCTGTATTTCAATGTATGTTTCAGAAATGTGTGTACTGTTCACCTATGACAAAGAGCTGGAGTCGAGAAAACACTTGTGTCCAGTGTTCCAATGGTCGCTGCACCACAGCTTTCCATACAACATGTGCCTTCATTGCTGGAGTAGTGTTCGAGACAAGTGACTGGCCATACCCTGTTTACATAACTTGTCACAAACATGCAGCTGCCCCAAAGGAGAAGGTAGGAATCAGTTAATGACCTGTATCTGTCTGCAACTTTATCCTCTAGAACCTTGAGTCCGGTAAAGTAGGTATGGATAGAAAAATATCAGTTATAAACAATATGTTAAATTCTACTGAAAACACTCCCAAACCACATTTTTGGGCTTGTAGACAAAAATGGAGTAGAATATCTCATGTCTTTGTGGTCTTGACTAGACCACATGCAGTTTCCAACTTTGTAGCCAGATCCTTGACACATCTGAAACACATTGCTTGACCTCAAGCTTTGTCCTGGCAGTGGCCATTTCACAGCCTGCCCACTTTCTCTGCCTAATTTTGGTACTTGCTGAACAAATTGTTATGGTTTGATCCCTTCATTTCTTTGCAGTGTTGGGGCGGTGGGGTAGCCTAGTGGTTAAAGCATATCATGCCGAAGACCCGGGTTGAATTCCCCACATGGGTACAATGTATGAAGCCCTTTCCTGGTGTCCCCGCCTAGACATTGTTGGAATATTGCTAAAAGCGGGATAAAACCATACTCACTCACTCACTCACTCTCTCTTTGCAGTGTCAGCTTATTTCTTGTACAGACATCATTGGCTACTTTCCTTGTTGTTTCTTTTTCCTTTTGCCCTTTTTCAAGCATTTGTATTATGTGTATCCACACTTCAGTGTCCCTATGATGTCTCAAGGATCCATATTTACACCACAATGCCATTGCAGTGTGTATACAGTCGAACCCCGTTTACTCGGACCCCGTATATCCGGAAACCCCACCTTTCTAACGCTTTTTATGTGAAACTTACCTTCAGTAATTGTACTCGCTTAGCCGGACCCTGCGCTTCCGGACCCAGACGGAGAATTTTCAAACCATTCCATAGAATTCCATTGAAAAATGATCCTGTTATCCGGATGGAAAATATCTGTGCGCATGTGTATGTGGATGTTTACCGCACAACTAAGTATATTCTTTGTTAATCTCTCTCGGCAGGCGTTTGATGTGAATTGATTAATTACCCATCAAAACACTAGGGACGCATGTCACTTCAGTTGTTAATTAGGATTTGGCAGGTGTGAGAACATCTCATCAGTAATGAAAACACATGTTAAGTAGGATTAACTACATTGTAATTGTACTGTACATGAATAATGAATAAATTTAACCGGATGCCTCACTATCCTGACGATTTCCGAGTGTAACCAAAATGTCCGGATAAACAGGGTTTGACTGTACTACAAATCCCCACAATGTAGACACACACTACAGTGATCTAGTGACAGTATTAGCTACTGCACACAAAATCAGTTGCATAACCCACTCAGCCACTGTGGCTGCCACAAAATGATAATGAACTTATCAGAGGGGTACGCAAAGTCTGTGGTCTTGACTACTTTGTGGGCTGGCAATTAGGTGCTTGACTCTGAGAGTGTAGCTTCAAATCCCGGATGGGACACACACAAACAAAAGTACTATATCTGTACTTTACTGAGAAAGTGTAATCCCAAATGTAACATATTTACACATTGGGATTGTTATGGCCAAAGGGTTTTCAGAGAATTGCTATTGTTGACATGAGTGCATTAACTGTGGCTTACTGTCAAATGTTTTAACGGGTGGCACTTAAAGGGGAATATTTGCTGGGCAGTGATATGTTTTAAGTTGTGAAATATATGTCTCCTGCTTGCTATTTGAGCAGTTTTTATCCCCTGCAACGCATTTTGCGGGGGGTATTAAAATGCACTCTCTGTGTGCATGCGTCTGTGCGTCTTGGCACATAGATAGGTCTGGTGATGAACTGGTGCCTTTTGGTAGTTTTGACTGAAATTGGTGTTGGTGCTCTTTTCCGGAGCAGAACTTTAAAACCGTTTAATATTTCTTCACCAAACTTGGCAGATTGTTAGGTCTGGTGATGAACTGGTGCTTTTGGTAGTTTTGGATTTCTGATTATTATATTTTTTGCGTTTCCATGGCAACAAGTTTGACTTTGACTGAAATTGGTGTTGGTGCTCTTTTCTGGAGCAGAACTTTAAAACTGTTCAATATTTCTTTACCAAATATTCTTACATAGATAGATCTGGTGATGAACTGGTGCCTTTTGGTAGTTGTGGATTTCTGATTATAATATTTTTGGCATTTCCATGGCAACAAGTTATACTTTGATTTCTTCACCAAACTTGGCACATAGATAGGTCTGGTGGTGAAATGGTGCCTTTTGCTAGTTTTGGATTTCTGAATAAAATATTGTTTGTGTTTCCATGCCAACAAGTTTGGCTTCAACTGAATTTGGTGGTAGTGCTCCTTTCTGGAGCAGAACTTAAAAACCTTTCAATACTCTCCTTCCACTTTGCCATATACACACCAAAATATTTGACATAACCATAACTAGTAGACATATTCATGAAGAGTATTTTGCCATTGCGGGGGATATTGATGACTTTGTCTTCTTGTTTAGTGAGCTTTGACATTTTTTGCTAGTAAGAACTTTGTGTTTGATAGAATCGGCAGATTAGCAGCAGTTCTGGCAATATTCAGTACTGTTATTGGGTCAAGACTGTTTGCTGTATTCAAAAATGGATCACTTTGTAAAGGTTCTAAACATAGAATTTCACAAGTTCATTTCTTAGGGCTTTAAACTTATTAACTTAACACTAATAACAGTAAAAGGTTTTTTAGCTTACGGAAATATTGGTCATGTAAGTTGACTGTACATTTATCATTCTGTAAGGAGAAATATGACTGTATTGATGAAGCTGAATGCTTTAATGTTGTGATGGCATTATCCGCTTTAATGTTGTGATGGCATTATCCAGAACTCAAGATTACCTTATTCCTCTAATTATTGCAGTCAGTCTATAACAAGAAAAACTACATTTAGCTTATATCAAACTGACTTTTGACTTGAATCCAGTAAGAACAAGAGGCATGTCCTGTCAGCTTTATTCCCCACATTTACAGATTTCAAGTATGAAATTGCATGGCTTATGAGGATAAGTACTCAACGTCCCTCATACAGTTGGGATGATACTAAGTTGCAGGACGTAACAGACCAACAGCCATCAACCATAGATCTAGCTCGGGTTCCAACAGATAATTGGGATACACCTCTGCTATTGCTAATTACTGGCTGAAATTGCTGAATGTGCCCTGTTTTCAGAGCCGGATGCGTCCTGTGACTGAAGTCAATGAGGGTGACCGAGTGTTAGCAAAGCACAAGAATGGTCGGTACTATTGGTCTGAAGTGACAGACATAAAGAGACAGACATACTATGAAGTGGACTTTGAGGATGGATCTTTCAGTGACAACCTCTTTCCTGAGGACATTGAGGTAATAAGACAAAGTACTTCAGCAGTTTATTATTATTTTCCAATGTTATTTCCCTATAAATGTGGTAGTGGCCAGCAGGAACTGTTAGTGGGAATGGTGGCTGTATGTGTGTATGACAGGTTACACTGTGTATTGTGTGTCATTGGGTAGGCTGACTTTGTTTCGTGTGTGTGAAGGAGTAGGCTATCTCTGTTTGTTGTATTAGACCTTGCATTTCCGATTGCCTGATCCACCCTATGAAATGCTATGAAACAAGTTTTTTTACTGTTAATCAACTTGATTGACATTTGACTCTTCTTGGCGTGAGAGTTGACAAACAGGATGGGGTTTGGTTCACTCATGTCATCGTATCCCAATTGGGTATATACGACGCTCATGATGTTGATAACTGGATTGTCTGGTCCAGACTCGATTATATACAGACGGACGCCATATAGATGGAATATTGCTAAGTGCAGCATTAAACAACAACCAAACAAAACCATGGTTTTGTCTATGGCAATTTTCTCAGTTGTGGTGAACCTTTCCTTATGTGTCGATGAACATTTTGTTAGATCTATGCAGTGTAGGAGTTTTGAGAAAATGTTCTACTGTGTGCAGTTGATTGAGTTGTCACACATCTGACAAGTGTAGACAGTTCCACCTTACTTGACCATGTCCTTCTAATGTCAATTTCCAATTTCCCTCATATAGAAAGAATTATTGGTGAAAACATGCATGACGATAATGTTAGAACTGATGTCAAATGTTTGGTGCTACTTGTAATATTGGCTTGCCAACTGTGTAAAACGTGTCTCAGTGAGTAGGCTAACTATTTGTGTGTGTCACTAAGTTGGCTATGTACTGCAGGTCACAGAGTAGGCTGTGTACTGCAGGTCACTGAGTTGGCTATGTACTGCAGGTCACAGAGTAGGCTATGTACTGCAGGTCACAGAGTAGGCTATGTACTGCAGGTCACAGAGTAGGCTATGTACTGCAGATCACTGAGTAGGCTATGTACTGCAGGTCACAGAGTTGGCTATGTACTGCGTGTCACTAAGTTGGCTATGTACTGCAGGTCACAGAGTAGGCTATGTACTGCAGATCACTGAGTAGGCTATGTACTGCAGGTCACCGAGTTGGCTATGTACTGCAGGTCACTGAGTTGGCTATGTACTGCAAGTCACAGAGTAGGCTATGTACTACAGGTCACAGAGTTGGCTATGTACTACAGGTCACAGAGTAGGCTATGTACTGCAAGTCACAGAGTAGGCTATGTACTACAGGTCACAGAGTAGGCTATGTACTGCAGGTCACAGAGTTGGCTATGTACTGCAGGTCACAGAGTAGGCTATGTACTGCAGGTCACCGAGTTGGCTATGTACTGCAGGTCACAGAGTAGGCTATGTACTACAGGTCACAGAGTTGGCTATGTACTGCAGGTCACAGAGTAGGCTATGTACTACAGGTCACAGAGTAGGCTATGTACTACAGGTCGAAGAGTAGCCTATGTACTGCAAGTCACAGAGTAGGCTATGTACTGCAAGTCACAGAGTAGGCTATGTACTGCAGGTCACAGAGTAGGCTATGTACTGCAAGTCACAGAGTAGGCTATGTACTACAGGTCACAGAGTTGATTATGTACTACAGGTCACAGAGTTGGCTGTGTACTGCAAGTCACAGAGTAGGCTGTCTGTATTGTGTGTTCATGATTTGGCTAACACTGTGTGTTCATGATTTGGCTAACACTGTATGTTCATGATTAGGCTAACACTGTGTGTGTCGGTTGTTTCCCACAACCCCTACAGCCCAGTACCCCTACAATTAGCTGTTTTAACAAGCGACATTTACCTGTCTGACATCATGAACTGGCCCGAAGGTGAGATTACAGGGTAGAATTTACAGTGTGAGCTGCACAGAGTATACAGATGAGAAGGGAATAAGATTGTGCTGTTGTTATTAGGGTTTTAGTAATTCATTTTTAATAATTGAGATTAATTAAATGTTGAACTAGTTTTTTAGCTTCCTGATGTACATAGTGAGTACAAAGATTTTGCAAATCGTAATAATATCAGTTGTAATAGTGTTGGAGATAGTAAACTGAGATCAATAATTTGAGATGATTTGGTGTGGTATATAAGAGGGGCGTTCAAAAAGTAGTCAGCCTAACTATATTCACAATGTCCAATGTTTGAAAAGCTTCTATTTATTTTGAAGCTATCATATAAAATATGTTCAGTATAGTATTGGATGACTTCACGTCATCAACATTCAAAGCTTTGGACTGTTTGATTTACATTTAGACAGGGGTTGTTTTCCAAGGACACACCCATTTTGGGGTACCAAGATAAAAAGTCAAACAAAATGGGGATCGTGAGGCTGGAACATAGCAAAACCAAGTTGACAGATAATATGTAGAAAAAATACAGCATAAAGAAACATTTAAAGAAGAAAAACTTTGTTAGTTGAATATAAAGTGTGTGTGACAAGCTCGTCATTTTGCTGCTTTCCCGACGTCAACAAAAACATGCCGAATCGTTGCGTTGCAGTCAATTGCTTCCAGGGGTTGGGTGATGGTGTCACCATGCACAGATTTCCACCGGACCCCGCAGTTCGTGCTAAATGGGTTATGTTTGTGAGTGCTAAGTGAATGTTGTGGAAGCCTGGAACAATATCTTACTTGTGTTTAGATCGCTTCACGGAAGCATAAATCAAAACTATGTACTAGTTGTAGTAAAATATGTATTTGATTGAAGACCAACAGGATTTTGCATGACACAACTTGTAACATAATGATTTCTTTCACAGTGTTGTCAGACGGAACGATTCGATTCGAATATATGTGTGGGCGCTGCTTGGCGCGCAGTCGCAAACGCGTTCCGGAATTGTGGGTCAAGGGACGGCTTACGACGCGCAGAAACAGTTCGTGTCGAACGTTGAGGATGCCATCGCCAGACGGGTGGATTTACCGAGTGCCATCCGGCGTTACCAGGACACGTTGGAATACACCTGGTCAAAGTTCGACTACGTGTTCGGCGTGGGACTGTACATGGCTCCGAGCGACATGTGACTGAGCATCCACAAAGTGGTGGGCTACAACAACGAAATCGTCATCGCGACCGCCGATCAAAAGTTGGGCATCAATCACGATGTCAACGTGAGTCGAGTCCCACCACCCACGCATACCGGCGAAATGTCGGCGAAACGGGGATCGTGATGTCGCCACCAGCACCAGAGCCCAGTGTTCAACCATCACCACCACGCGAGGAGGTCAAACATCAGCAACACCTCGGTCTTTGTTGTTACGGAAGGGCATGTACCCGTACAAGTACATGGACGATTGGCCCAAGTCCGAGACCCAACTACCCCCCATCGACCGCTTTTACAGCCATTTGACCGAGTCCCCTATATCGCAGGACGATTATGACCACTCCCAGAACGTGTTGGAGAAACTGGGATGTCGACATTTAGGCGATTATCACGACCTCTACTTGAAAACGGACGTCTTACTGCGGGCTGACGTGTTCGAGACCTTCAGAACGACGTGTTTGAAACAGTATCAACTCAACCCAGAGTTAAACTGGAATTGCTCACAGATTACGACATGCACCTGTTCGTCGAGAAAGGCATGCGCGGTGGGATTTCCATGGTCTCCAAACGCTATGCGAAAGCCAACAACAAATACGTCAAAGGCTACGACTCAAACAAGCCCGCCAATCATCTCCTCTATCTCGACGCCAACCACCTGCACGGCTGGGCCATGAGCCAGTCTCTACCAAACGGGTGGTTCGCATGGTTGGACAATGAGATCCATTTCATGAGCATCGCACCGGATTCGAACAAAGGCTACATCCTCGAAGTGGACTTTGACTATCCCGATGAACTCCACGCTGCTCACAACAGCTATCCGCTGGCTCTCGAACGGTTGACGGTGAACCGAGACTGGATGTTTGACTATCAACTACTGTTGCTCGGGAAAAATAAGCTAGCCAACTTGGAAAAACTCGTCCCTAACTTGATGCACAAGAAAAAGTATGTCGTGCACTATCAGAATCTGCAACTGTACTTATCGCTGGGCATGAAGCTGACTAAAATACATCGGGTGCTCAAATTTAATCAAAGTCCCTGGATGAAACCTTACATTCGGTTGAACACCGAGCTTCAAAAACAAGCCACGAGCGACTTTGAGAAAAATCTCTACAAACTCATGAACAATTCGGTGTTCGGCAAAACCATGGAAAATTTAAGTGACGGTCAAACTCGTTCGATCTCAAGAGGAAGAAAAACTTAGGAAATTGATAGCCAGCCGGCCTTCAATCAAAGCAAGCTATTCGGTAATGACTTGGGGGCTCTCCACATGAACTAAAGCCATATCAAGCTCAACCGACCCATTTATGTGGGGATGAGCATTCTCGACCTGTCCAAACATTTAATAATAATGATAATAATGTCCACTTGTATGGCGCCGTTTCCACACACTAGTGTATGCTCATGGCGCTCTGTGTGTACAGCTAAAACCCCGATTGATGTACGATTTCTACTATAACCAACTCAAGAAGCAATACGGCGATCGATGCGAGCTGCTGTACACGGACACCGAATCCGTGTTGTTGAATATACGCACCGAGGACGTGTACGAGGACATGGCGAAACACATCGATTTGTACGACACCAGCGACTATCCGAAAGACCATCCAATCCACAGCCAAGCCAACAAAAAGGTCCTCGGCAAAATGAAGGACGAATGCGCCGGCACACCGATCGCCGAGTTCATCGGGTTGAGACCTAAGATGTAATGGAAGAAAGCCAATGATGACGAAATCAAAAAAGGGGTGAAGAAATATGTGGTGAAACGACACATCCAACACACCCTCTTCAAACAGGCTCTCTTCGATAAACGCACGTTCAAACACCCCATGAACCGTTGAGAAGCAACAAGCACAACATCTACGGCATCACTATCAACAAGACCTCGCTGTCGCCCATGGATACCGAACCATGGCATCCACACTTATAGCTATGGGTACCAACAGTTGACCTCAACGCGTTGGGAGTTTCCAAGACCCCCAATAAAGGAAACTCCACTCGATGCGTTGAGACAATTGAATGAACGATAGCGTGTATACATCATGGAGAAGGTTTACTACAGACCTCGGGGTTACTGGAAAAGTGTGAACGCCATCCTGAAGCTAGCCAAAGCCGCTCACGTCTCCAAGGATACTGCCAAAGCTTGGCTTAAAAAAACTGGCCATCTGGCAAGTGTACCTGCCAGCTCCCCGATACATCCCGAGAAGAAAGTTTGACATTTCCATACCCAATCGTACCCATCAAGCCGACCTCCTGTTTCTCCCGCATGACAGGGTGAGAAACAAAACGTACAAGTACGCCGTGACCGTCGTGGACGTTGCCAGTCGCTACAAGGAAGCCGTTAACGACCAAAGATTCGGGTCAAGTCGCTAAGGCCTTAGAACGCATCTACAAACACAGTCGCTTGACCTGGCCTGCCGTATTGCAAGTCGATCCCGGACGCAAGTTCATGGGAGCCGTGTCGCAGCTGTTATCGAAGCATAAAGTCCAGGTGAGACGAGGCGTGGCTGGAGCTCACCGAAGCCAAGCCATCGTCAAAAGATTCAACAGGACTTTAGCCGAGCTTTTGTTCGGACATCAGTATGCCCGAGAGATGGTCAACCCAGAAAAACGATCGACGGACTGGGTGGTACGCTTACCGCGAGTGGTGTCGGCGATCAACAACGAATTCACTCGACTCCTCGATAAAAGACCCGTCGAAGCCATTCGAATGAAATCTGTGACGACCAAATCGGCTGCGCCATCGCGTCACGGCCAAGAGAAAAAACTACCGGACCAGGTCGTTGTGAGGTATCTGTACCAGCCTGGTGAACTTGCGAGAGAGAGGGGATAAACGTTGTGCCACAGACCCCGTATGGTCCATGAAAACGTACTGAATCGACCGAGTGGACATCAAAGACGACAAACCGAATCTGTATTACTTGCAAGACGGACCGGGTAGGGGATTCGTCCGAGAGGAATTGATGATCGTCCCTCGTGACACGGTATTGCCCCCTTCTTATTAAAGATTCGTCTTATGTATCTCATTATCAACAAGTGGAGATTGATCAAGAAACGGTTGTTCAGATGTGTCGGGGTGGACGTCAGTGGCCTCGATATTTACGCCGCCCTGCGTCGTGTCATAAGTCGAGGGAAATTCACCAGCCTGTACAATAGTTTAGGTCTCGTGGGCACCTCGTGACAACCAGGGAACGCACCGCCACCGCCCGTACTCCACCTACTCCGTAGCTTACTTGGACGAGTTTATCGTAGACCCCATCCACAAAGTTGTCGCTCGACATTACGGATACCTTGCGTGAACCCTGGATTACGAGTCCAACGCTCTAACCATCACACTGGCGAGCCGGCTGATAACTCAGTGCTCGGAACTTTGGGTCTAGGCTGGAGGCACATCGAAGGATGGTTCTCGCTATTTTTTTAACGGGAGCTGGGAGGCTTAATTCACACAAATAAGCCTCTAAGCCTCATCTGCTGCAAAAACCACTCTAGTACTACTGCAGATAGTGTTTGGCACCTTCTCCTCAGCTCCCTGGTTGTTCGAGCAGATCTACACACTGCATGCTGAGTATCAAGGCCACATGTTCCAGTTTGTCATGTGTTTGCTGTCCTGGACTACACTGATCACGTCGCTGACCTGATCCACCTCCACATGAACCATCAATGTAAAACTCACTCACTCCACTCACTCCATCAATGTGACTTATCGGTGAACAGTCTGTGGCTCAAACATGTATTGTTATTTATTTATTATTTTTTTACCATGACTACGGTATCAGATGACCACTCACATTTCTTTGTTTTTCTTGTGTATTGAGAGTCCCGGGAACATTGAATTCAGTGTTCACTGTAGCTTGACCATTCCCGCGAAAGCGATACCTAAATTGAGGAGGTTTAGTCCAGATTTTGCTTTGCCAGGCCATAACCCCCTAATGTCCCACTGCGATTTGACAGAATCATCCATGAAAACAAGTTGTAACTCAGAAGCCAGGCAAAGCAGGTGACAAGATTAAATGACAGTTGATAGTGAAAACATAAAGCTTTCATTTTTCACAACAATTGTCAAGATTTCAGGTTTAGACAAACCTGTAAACAAGATAATTTACCCTCGGAAATGTACATGAATTCTACATAGCCTCTCTTATGTATACCTCACATTACTTCACGGAGACGCACCCCTCTGATTGGTTGAAATTTCGTTTGCGGGAGAGAATTGTGCACTGTTGTCCAAAACGTCGATTTAAGTTAATTAAATGTTGAAATGAGTAGTTTTAATGACAGTGTTTCATTTATAACGATGAACAATAAATGATTTATGTATTTGTACCCCCCTAGGGTATATGTGATCTTTAATGTTATGACCTTATGATATTAAAATAGGTTAATTAAACCTCAAGTTCAATATTATAGATCTTTTATTAAAAATATTTTTGTTATCATCCATTAAAACCATTCTCTCAAACTCTTAGTTTGCTTATTACTCATTAAAATCATTCTCTCAATTGTTAAGTGTTTGGGGTGGTCCATTGTATGAAATAGGTAACAGGCAGGAGATTAGCAGTGCACCCGACCATGAACTTTGTTGTTATAAGCTGTGGGGGTAATGGGATGTAGGGGTTTCGGGAGGTTTGCTGTGTGTCACTGAGTTGGCTAGGTACTGCAGGTCACAGAGTCTGTGTATTGTGTATGTATGATTAGGCTATCAGTGTGTGTGTGAGTCACTGAGTTGGCTAGGTACTGCAGGTCACAGAGTCTGTGTATTGTGTGTGTATGATTAGGCTAACAGTGTGTGTCACCGAGTTGGCTAGGTACTGCAGGTCACAGAGTCTGTGTATTGTGTGTATATGATTAGGCTAACAGTGTGTGTCACCGAGTTGGCTAGGTACTGCAGGTCACAGAGTCTGTGTATTGTGTGTGTATGATTAGGCTAACAGTGTGTGTCACTGAGTTGGCTAGGTACTGCAGGTCACAGAGTCTGTGTATTGTGTGTGTATGATTAGGCTAACAGTGTGTGTCACTGAGTTGGCTAGGTACTGCAGGTCACAGAGTCTGTGTATTGTGTGTGTATGATTAGGCTATCAGTGTGAGTGTGTATCACTGAGTTGGCTAGGCACTGCAGGTTACAGACTGTGTATACTGTGCCACAACAGGCTGACTGTATACTGTGTCTGGTGTGTCACAACAGGCTGACTGTATACTGTGTCACAACAGGCTGACTGTATACTGTGTCACAACAGGCTGACTGTATACTGTGTGTGGTGTGTCACAACAGGCTGACTGTATACTGTGTCTGGTGTGTCACAACATGCTGACTGTGTATACTGTGCCACAACAGGCTGACTGTATACTGTGTCTGGTGTGTCACAACAGGCTGACTGTATACTGTGTGTACTGTGTCACAACAGGCTGACTGTATACTGTGTCTGGTGTGTCACACAGGATGATGTGTGTACTGTGTCACAACAGGCTGACTGTATACTGTGTCTGGTGTGTCACAACAGAATGACTGTATACTGTGTCACAACAGGCTGACTGTATACTGTGTCTGGTGTGTCACAACAGGCTGACTGTATACTGTGTCACAACAGGTGTGTCACAACAGGCTGACTGTATACTGTGTGGTGAGTCACAACATGCTGACTGTGTATACTGTGCCACAACAGGCTGACTGTCACAACAGGCTGACTGTATACTGTGTGTGGTGTGTCACAACAGGCTGACTGTATACTGTGTGCACAACAGGCTACAGGCTGACTGTGTGTGGTGTGTCACAACAGGCTGACTGTATACTGTGTCTGGTGTGTCACAACAGGCTGACTGTATACTGTGTCACAACAGGCTGACTGTATACTGTGTGTGGTGTGTCACAACAGGCTGACTGTATACTGTGTCTGGTGTGTCACAACAGGCTGACTGTATACTGTGTCACAACAGGCTGACTGTATACTGTGTCTGGTGTGTCACAACAGGCTGACTGTATACTGTGTCTGGTGTGTGACTGTACAGTGTGTCACAACAGGCTGACTGTATACTGCGTGTGGTGTGTCACAACAGGCTGACTGTATACTGTGTCTGGTGTGTTACAACAGGCTGACTGTGTGTGGTGTGTCAGTGTACTCAAAGAGTTTCTATTGTTTTGCAACACAGAGTCGGGACTGCAGGCAGGAGGGTCCCCCGCTGGAGGGGCAGCAGGTTCAGGTGCGCTGGACAGATGGGGAGCTGTATGGGGCCGTCTTCAGGCAGGTCAACTGTCAGGACATGTACACTGTGAGTATTTCCAACACAAGCCGTAATAATTGCTTCTTAGATTTTAAATCTTCCAGAAACCTGTGATTACTGGTTTCACATCTGGTTCCCCTCAGATCATGGTTCAAGGTTTGTCAGCACCAAGCACATGGTTGTGGCTTTCACCAAAGTGATGAACATTTGAGAACTGCATCGCTTTTTGCTTTCCTCCCCTGACATATAACTTGAATACGGTTTGTTCAAGCCAAACCTACTGAATGCTGGATTGTGATGTACATGAAATTTAACTTTTGTTGGAAGAAACTAAAAGTCCTGAAGATGTGAGTATGTTGACATGGCCTTTGACTTGGCATGTAAATAGCCTCACCAGAACAGTTTCCTGTCCTTCCAATCTAATGCTTTGTATTTTCAGATTGAGTTTGAAGATGGATCTTTCATGACATACAAGCGCCAGGACCTGTGGGCCGATGGGGAGGAGCTGCCGAAGTATGTCAAGTCCAGGATGGTATGTACATCCATACAGCCACCTCAACCTCCCCTGTAGTACATGCAACCACGCCAACCTCCCCTGTAGTACATACAACCACCCCAACCTCCCCTGTAGTACATACAACCACCCCAACCTCCCTGTAGTACATACAACCACCCCAACCTCCCCTGTAGTACATACAACCACCCCAACCTCCCCTGTAGTACATACAACCACCACAACCTCCCCTGTAGTACATACAGCCACCACCACAACCTCCCCTGTAGTACATACAGCCACCTTAACCTCCCCTGTAGTACATACAGCCACCACAACCTCCCCTGTAGTACATACAGCCACCCTCAACCTCCCCTGTAGTACATACAGCCACCTTAACCTCCCCTGTAGTACATACACAGCCACCACCACAACCTCCCCTGTAGTACATACAACCACCCAGCCACCACCCTCCCCTGTAGTACATACAGCCACCACCACAACCTCCCTGTAGTACATACAGCCACCACAACCTCCCCTGTAGTACATACAGCCACCTCCAACCTCCCTGTGTACATACAGCCACCACCTCAACCTCCCCTGTAGTACATACAGCCACCTCAACCTCCCCTGTAGTACATACAGCCACCACCTCCCCTGTAACCTCCCCCCTGTAGTACACATACAGCCACCACAACCTCCCCCCTGTAGTACATACAGCCACCCCAACCTCCCCTGTAGTACATACAGCCACCACAACCTCCCTGTAGTACATACAGCCATCTTAACCTCCCCTGTAGTACATACAGCCACCTTAACCACCCCTGTAGTACATACAACCTCCCCTGTAGTACATACCAACTAAACCTCCCCCTGTAGTACATACAGCCACCCCAACCTCCCCTGTGGTACATACAGCCCTTAACCTCCTTGTGCCACCTTAACCACCCCTGTAGTACATACAGCCACCCCAACCTCCCCCTGTACATACATACAGCCATCTTAACCTCCCCTGTAGTACATACAGCCACCTTAACCACCCCTGTAGTACATACAGCCACCTCAACCTCCCCTGTAGTACATACAGCCATCTTAACCTCCCCTGTAGTACATACAGCCACCTCAACCTCCCCTGTGGTACATACAGCCACCTGTAGTACATACAGCCACCTCCCTCCCCTGTAGTACATACATCAAACCAGTACATACAGCTTAGCCATCCCCTGTAGTACATACAGCCACCTGTACTCACCCTGTAGTACATACAAGTACATACCTCCCTCCTGTAGTACATACAGCCACCTCAACCTCCCTGTACATAACACAACCTCCCCTGTAGTACATACAGCCACCTCCCAACCTCCCCTGTAGTACATGCACCACCACAACTCTTAACCTCCCCCTGTAGTACATTACAGCCACCTCTTTAACCACCCCTGTACATACAGCCACCTCAACCACCTCAACCTCCCCCTGTGTAGTACATACAGCCACCTTACATACAGCCACCCCCCCTGTAGTACATACAGCCTCCCCCTGTAGTACATACAGCCACCTTAACCACCCCTGTAGTACATACAACCTCCCCTGTAGTACATACCACCTCAACCTCCCCTGTAGTACATACCACCTCAACCTCCCCTGTAGTACATACAGCCACCACAACCTCCCCTGTAGTACATACAGCCACCACAACCACCCCTGTAGTACATACAGCCACCTTAACCTCCCCTGTAGTACATACAGCCACCTTAACCACCCCTGTAGTACATACCACCTCAACCTCCCCTGTAGTACATACAGCCACCTCACCCTCCCCTGTAGGTTTTCCTATCTTTCCCATGTTTTAAATTTGAGGCCAATATTTACTGTTATGAGGTTTTGTCAGTCTTCTCTACTGAACTAATCTGTACTGCTGTGGGGATTGAAGTGTCTGCTGGTAACACAACATGTAAAATGTAGTAAGGATTAGGTTGTCAGTCTCAGTGTTTGTTGATTACTGGTCATTCACAACTCTTTTGTCCTTGTGTGGAGTCGTATAGTTTTGGTGCCATGATATAACTTGAATATTGCTGATTGCTGAGAGTTTTATTGCTGACTTATATACATGTAAAATTACTGGTAATATTCTCATTTCAGTCGGCAGCCACAGAGAGGAAATATGACTGCTTTTATTCTGAGGTTGTGAAAGACAAGAGACGACCAAAACACAAGATATCTTATCTGAAGATGTTGGGATAACAAGTGACATTTACACATTCAAGTTGAATGGTGGTGATACTGGTTGACAGTATTTAGAATGATATGTTACAAACTGCAACATAGCATACCATGTGGACATCCTTGCAACTTGGGAATATGACTCTCACAAGTAGGAAAGTGATTACTGGTATGTAGTTGTGTTATCAGATCATCCACACAGGAAGCAAGGATTGGGTACCTATGTCGTCACAGCTCTTTATGCAAGTGCAGCTTCTTCTGAAGTCTACAGGTAATAGTGGGAAGTCGTCACACTGAACAAGTCAACTCAACAGGACCCCCCACCAACAATAGCTCATCTCGTATTTAAAGGCAGCATTAAGTATTGAGCTGTATCAGTCTTGCTGGCCCCCCAGCAGGGGGAGTCTGGTCCTCTCCCCTGCAAGACAGGGTGGCACCCAGCAGGGGGAGTCTGGTCCTCACCTGCAAGACAGGGTGGCACCCAGCAGGGGGAGTCTGGTCCTCTCACCTGCAAGACAAGGTGGCACCCAGCAGGGGGAGTCTGGTCCTCTCACCTGCAAGACAGGGTGGCACCCAGCAGGGGGAGTCCGGTCCTCTCACCTGCAAGACAGGGTGGCACCCAGCAGGGGGAGTCTGGTCCTCTCACCTGCAAGACAGGGTGGCACCCAGCAGGGGGAGTCTGGTCCTCTCACCTGCAAGACAAGGTGGCACCCAGCAGGGGGAGTCCTGGTCCTCTCACCTGCAAGACAAGGTGGCACCCAGCAGGGGGAGTCCGGTCCTCTCACCTGCAAGACAAGGTGGCACCCAGCAGGGGGAGTCGGGTCCTCTCACCTGCAAGACAAGGTGGCACCCAGCAGGGGGAGTCTGGTCCTCTCACCTGCAAGACAAGGTGGCACCCAGCAGGGGGAGTCCGGTCCTCTCACCTGCAAGACAGGGTGGCACCCAGCAGGGGGAGTCTGGTCCTCTCACCTGCAAGACAAGGTGGCACCCAGCAGGGGGAGTCCGGTCCTCTCACCTGCAAGACAAGGTGGCACCCAGCAGGGGGAGTCCTCACCTGCAAGACAAGGTGGCACCCAGCAGGGGAGTCCCTCTCACCTGCAAGACAGGGTGGCACCCAGCAGGGGGGAGTCCGTCCTCTCACCTGCAAGACAAGGTGGCACCAGCAGCAGGGGACAGGGTGCTGGTGGCAGTCCGGGGAGTCCGGTCCTCTCACCTGCAAGACAAGGTGGCACCCAGCAGGGGGAGTCGGGTCCTCCCTCACAGAGATTCGCATATGTATCTGAATGTACTCATGAAAACTGTAAGTGGTAAGACTCTTTTGAGGTATATTTTATCTTCTGTTTGATACATTAGGGACGTTGTTGGTGGAAATATGATGCTCAGGATCCAAACACCTGCCATGTTTTTTATTCCAGTCAAAAAGGTGTTGTTGACTTTTACACATTCATTGTTACACTGCTTTCTACTCCATGGCCCAACAGGAAGATGACGAGATGTATTCAGTGATGTTTGTTCAACCACCAAATATTTGTCCTGGGTACTGATAAAAATGTTTCATGCTTCATGTTCCTCTTAAAGGATTGTCTGGTTTTGCAATTTGTTGGATCGTTTTGAAATTCTAAATCCAGACTAACCCAGATTGGACTGACTAGTCTGTTCCAATGTTTCTGACTTAACCTTTCATGTTGATCACTTCCTGGCTGTGTGAAAACCAGTCCTAGTTCATGAACAAATAGTATTGTCCTATGTATACATGTTTAAAAGATATATTTCCAAAACTGTTAAATGTAACATTTCAGGCACTGTACAGACAAACATTGACTCGACTCCAGACATGTCAGATGGAATGTCATGTGACCAATGTTTCAATTTCTTGGGTAAAAGTTGTCAGTTTAGTTATGGTTTATATTAGATTTAGGGTGCAAGTTAGGTAATTGTTTGTAATAACAAACGTTGAAGATCATACTGTCAATATATATGGAAGCTGTGACAGCAGTACTCTGTTGCTGAACCTCATTGAAAAGCATTGTACATATCATTTCTATGATAACATCATTTGTATATAATGTGTTAGTATTTTGGTATATCTGTAGAAGTCCCAGCTTAGAGAGGCTGTTAACTACTCATGTTCCCTGTACATAGGCCAGTTTGTCTGAAAGACAATTCTCAACACACTGCCAAACTTGGAAGGAAATCATGTGTTGTAGTTAGCACCACCTAAATGTTTTTTGCCCAACTTGATACTGGTGTTTTCTTCTTCTTGAACAAACTGATGACACCTTTTTAAATATTTTTAAGAAGTTTTGAATTTGTATTGATTTTTTTGTATTGATGGTAAGGATTGGGAGGGAGAGGGGGAGTGCCAAAATGTTACAAACTTTTAAAAAACTGCTGTTTTGTCAGAAAATGTTTGTTCATCTTGAGTTGCCATGGTTACTAGCTCTATGAATGTTCATCTCCAACATTTAGTCCTCAAGGGAGGTGGTATGTACCCTTACAGCAGCGCTGTACTTACACAGCATAATATGTATCTAGTTACAGGTGGAAAACACCAATATTTCCTTTTGACAAAGAGGTTGAATTTGTCCTTTCATAATTCTACAAATCCAACTTTTCCACAACTAAATTTCTCCATCAAGGGGCAGTGTTCAAAGTATAACACAGCATATGATTTGGTAAGGAATTTTATATAATGTGATATTTATTTAAAAATTTACTGTTGTCCTTTGTAGAAATTCCTAATTTATTGTATGTAATTATGTTTGGAAAACTTGTTGATCAGTATTGTTGATAAATAGAGATTGTAAATGTGAATATAGCCCAGGTGAGATGGGGCACAGCATGTACATAAACCTACTTCATACACCAGAGTGACAACACTTATGTATGTTTCTGCTTCCATGTTGCACACGTTGAAATGGACAATGTTTGCATTTGCAATTCACATAATAATTTATGACCCTTTACCATATTAAATGTTGATTGATTCAATTGCTGTTGTTGGGTGTTTCTGTTTGCAAATTATTTTCCTGTCAATTAGCATGTGATCAAACAGAATGACTTGTATGGCCTCACCTGGATTGATTCTCTTCTTGGTTGGATTCAATTATATGACTTCAGTTCAGTTACCGTATACAGCCTATAGTCATGAAGCCTATGTAAGATTACTTGTAGCAAGTATGAGATCTAGAACAAAAACTGGTGAAGATAATTGTTTGATGTATGCTCAACCAATTGTTGCAATATATCCAAACTACTTAGTTACCCAGTGTGCCACTACTTGGTGCCGGACCAGTCATGTGATATTAGTTTCCGGTGATCAGATCATCGAAACTAATAAGTCAACACTGTTGCTGTTGTAGCTGCATTTTTATTCCACCTTTTTGAGGCACAGCACTTGGCAATCCCAATTCCTATGTACAATGCTCACACAGTACAGTGGCTTTCCCTTACAGCCAGTTGGCAATGCATTATGGGTAAGAGGTTTCCACAGAAATGGTAGAAATGGTTACAACCATACACATCAGGTAGAAAAAAGCTTTCACCATAGTTATAGCATCATACTTACATAGTTTACAATGGTGGCGGTATCCTCTACATACAAAAATATATACATATAGTGTGATCCACCGTGTTATTCATAACATGTACATATGTGCCCATGGGCACGTGATCTACAACAAATGTCTGTAGGAGACTTGCGAAGCACTGCAGCAACAATTTGACTCTCTTTTTCCCATTTCAAACTTGTACTAGACATGTCAACACTTAAAATTTCAACATAGACTTGGCACTAAAATTACAACTGGTAAAAAAAGGTATGAATATAATGAATCCTGCTTTAGGACTTGCATTGGTTTGATGGTAATGAGCCAGAGCTATCTGAAACTGGTCAAGATAATAACTTCAGATTATTGACCCCTCAAAGTCTAAAGTTATTATGTAAGCAGGTTCTGCACTTCCATCTTTGTCAGGACCCTGTTAATAAAGGCTGGAACTGTTTCTAAAGGGTGAAGATGAGCATGCAGTGATCACAGTGTATAAAATTACAAAGTCACACACAACATGGAAACAGGTCACACACTACACATTTTGTGAAATATTTAAGATAAAGACAAGTTTCCTTAATACAGCCAAATAAAAAAAAGTATGAGTGTACTACAGTGGACTGACTATACAAAGGGGCATGCAGGGCCACAGCTGTAGTGTGGAGAGAATAGTTGTGACAGGCACGCAGACAAGTAGCTTATCCACGACACTACACCAGCTATTACAGCAATACAGGAATGATCTGGCCAACCACTCCATTACAACAGTTACTTGACATCAAGGGGAAACAGTTGGAGGACATGATTCAAAACATTTCCTATCTTTCATCCCTTACAAAACCAGGGTGTAGTAGACACATTTTCTCTGCCAAATTCTGCCTCAAACACAGTTCTTATATCTAGGAAAGAAAACTATTGATTGTCATGGCAAACATGTACAGACGCATGAACAATGGGGCTGCCAGATGCACCTTCACCTGGTTACCAGACCAAGTTAAACAAAATAAGTACCTTCTAAAAACATTTAATTCACAGATGTTGCCATTTTATGACATATATTAAACAGTTAAAATAAGTACAGCTATATATATACACATAACAGTTTCCAGTAGAACAAAGAACGTACTAAGTGAGGTTTCTGTAATTGTCATTTCCTGTTTGTTTTAGTTTTGTTTCAACTCTTAAGCAGTACACGTTAGAAAATAAGAGATACAATGGTTATGACTTTTGAAACAGTACACAGTTTTTGTAAAATACAAAACAAAGTTTTTTGCACCTGATCAGGGAAAGCCCCACATTACAGTCCAGAACGTCACATGCTATTCTGGATTAACACTGGTAGCAGACACGAAAAAACATATCTTAAGATTTTCATAAATTATAACTAAATTACTGAACAATATTTTTAAAGAGACGTGAACAAAATCATCTGGTTAGGTATGAGATAATTACACAACCATCATTTCTGTCATCTGTGATATTGGTCAGTGAATACACCAGGGTCAGAACAACAAGACAATGTCCGTACCCCTTTGTTAGTCATAATGGTTTATTATACTAAAGAGCAACATAAGCAAAATTTTGTCAAAATAATATTGTACTACCACAAGACAGACAGGACTACTTTCTTCTTGATGTAATTTGATGAGCAAAGCAAGAAGTCTTGTCAATCAGATGATTACATCCAACTTAGAAAAGTGAAAAAGAAATTCATAAAATATTACGTTTGTTGAACTAGTTCATTCTAAAGGACAGTTCAATATGCACAGCTTTCACTACTGAACTTCAATGTGATATGAAAAATGAGGATTTGGAGCTGAGGCAGCTCAGTACAGTACAGCAAGCAGCATAATGATGATTCGGTTAGTACTGCCTTACAGCAAACAGCACAATGATGATTCGGTTAGTACTGCCTTACAGCAAGAAGCACAATGATGATTCGGTTAGTACTGCCTTACAGCAAGAAGCACAATGATGATTCGGTTTTAGTACTGCCTTACAGGAAGCAGCACAATGATGATTCGGTTAGTACTGCCTTACAGCAAACAGCACAATGATGATTCGGTTAGTACTGCCTTACAGCAAGAAGCACAATGATGATTCGGTTAGTACTGCCTTACAGCAAACAGCACAATGATGATTTGGTTAGTACTGCCTTACAGCAAGCAGCACAATGATGATTCAGTTAGTACTGCCTTACAGCAAGCAACACAATGATGATTCGGTTAGTACTGCCTTACAGCAAGCAACACAATGATGTATCACTTAGAAATGCCTATTAGTGAACTAGTCAGTTTGGTTAAACGTTGCTTTAACCAGTTTCCCAGTGATATCCAGTGTTTAAAACTCCCAAAATTCCAAGCCAAACAGCCGGACTGGTAACTTTAAAAAATTCCCAGTCCAGATACAAACTTGCCTGTCCGGTTTTGAACAATAAAAAACTGTGACTGCCATTTCCAACTCGTGCATGCTCCATTCACTGTTTGTAGGCATCGCAATGAACTACATAGCACTAACAGGCAATGCACCGAGTATAAGTAAACTGAAAGTACATGTGTTGTGATTGGTTATCGTAACAGAAACTGTCCAATCGTAAGTAGTTTAACATAATTTTCATAATACCTTAAACACCTCGAACCGACGACAAGAGAACCTGTCTGATATTATGAAATATTTACTCTTAGGGGTAAAAATATCTACCAGGCCACCGGACATGGCTATATTTGAAATTTGACCATCTGAGATGAAAATAGACCGTTCCGGGCAGGTGGGAATTTTAAACACTGTTATATCTCTGCCTTACAGCCAACAGCATAGTGATGTTCAACTTAGTACTGCCTTACAGCCAACAGCATAGTGATGTTCAATTTAGTACTGCCTTACAGCCAACAGCATAGTGATGTTCAACTTAGTACTGCCTTACAACAAGCCACACAGCACAAAATCAGCACTGTATAATTTTGTAAGGAATTATTTCAAAAGTTGATGACAAGCAACAGCACCACCGATGTGAGCAGGAACACAAACAGTTAATGAATGTTATCAGGGGAGGTAACTCATATCAGAATCATTATGGCCACCGAATTAATAGTATCAAGGGAGGCAACTCTGCAGAACACGAACTGACATAATTACTAAACTGCTGCCCCAACATGGGAATGTGTTGTCATATTCTCAGACAAATTTACATCCAATTATTCAATACAGGCAGCTGCACATACCACTTGGTACAGCAAAGAGCTTCCACTTTTGCCAGACTGTTTCAAACTCTACACAAAACATATATATCCTGTAACATGAGGTAAAAAAAAAAGTAACAATTTTCAAAAAAGTTGAAAAATAAGTCCCATATGATGCTAGTGAGGGTCTGATGTGATTCCTGTCTTCAGTATGGTTACCATGGTTACTGATAAGTTGGGAGTTGATAGCACCTGCGATGCAGGTCACATCAACTTCCAACTCCATGACAGTGGTTTGTGGCTTGAAGTGACATCCACAGCAATGGCCAACATTTTGTGAATAAGATCAGATACAGCGCAAAGCTCTTTTTCAAGTTCCTGTCCATCAGTTGGAGTGAAGATACCTTCCAAGCCCCAACCCTCACATATGTGAACAGTTCAACACACTCCCATCAATGCACCATGTATGAAGCCTCTGGGTCCAGGAAGTGAGTCTTCCAGCACAGGAGCTTCAACCATTAACACTCCCCAACACTGAACATTCTCTAGCACTAGAGATGATACATTTAAAACATTCAAGATCCTAGTAGAAACACACTGATGTAAAAACTCCATTTGTTCTGAAAATCTGTAGACATCTGGTCTCCAAGAAAACATAAGACTCGTATCACATGGGTTTATGGCCTGCAGTTGAGAGAGATGACTCTGACAAGAGTTTTGTGTCTGCAGACAGCTTGCTTATAGGTTAAATATATTGCAAGATCCTGACATTCAGTCTAGTGTAGTCCTGCATAGTGTGTATGGCATCAAGGTCGGTGAAATCTGAAATTGAATAAACATTCATCAATAATGAATCATGACCTGAGAATTGCTCCTTCAAAAGTCTCAAGCAAATTGGGATACAGTGTTAATGCTGATATATATAGTGTTAATGCTGAGATATATAGTGTTAATGCTGAGATATATAGTGTTAATGCTGACATATGCAGTGTTAATGTTGACATATACAGTGTTAATGTTGACACATACAGTGTTGATGCTGAGATATATAGTGTTAATGCTGAGATATATAGTGTTAATGCTGACATATACAGTGTTAATGCTGAGATATATAGTGTAAATGCTGACATATACAGTGTTAATGTTGACATATATAGTGTTAATGTTGACATATACAGTGTTAATGTTGACATATAGTGTTAGTGTTAATGCTGACATATAGTGTTAGTGTTAATGTTGACATATACAGTGTTAATGCTGATATAAACAATGTTGATGCTGATATAAACAATGTTGATGCTGAGATATATAGTGTTAATGCTGATATAAACAATGTTGATGCTGAGATATATAGTGTTAATGCTGAGATATATAGTGTTAATGCTGAGATATATAGTGTTAATGCTGACATATGCAGTGTTAATGTTGACATATACAGTGTTAATGTTGACACATACAGTGTTGATGCTGAGATATATAGTGTTAATGCTGAGATATATAGTGTTAATGCTGACATATACAGTGTTAATGCTGAGATATATAGTGTTAATGCTGACATATACAGTGTTAATGTTGACATATATAGTGTTAATGTTGACATATACAGTGTTAATGTTGACATATATAGTGTTAATGTTGACATATACAGTGTTAATGCTGATATAAACAATGTTGATGCTGATATAAACAATGTTGATGCTGAGATATATAGTGTTAATGCTGATATAAACAATGTTGATGCTGAGATATATAGTGTTAATGCTGAGATATATAGTGTTAATGCTGATATCAACAATGTTGATGCTGAGATATATAGTGTTAATGCTGAGATATATAGTGTTAATGCTGACATATACAGTGTTAATGCTGACATATACAGTGTTAATGTTGACATATACAGTGTTAATGCTGACATATACAGTGTTAATGTTGACATATACAGTGTTAATGCTGACATATACAGTGTTAATGCTGACATATACAGTGTTAATGCTGACACATATATGTTACATATAGTGTTAATGCTGACATAATAGTGTTAATGCTGACATATACAGTGTTAATGCTGAGATATATAATACAATGTTAATGTTGACATATACAGTGTTAATGCTGACATATACAGTGTTAATGCTGACATATACAGTGTTAATGTTGACATATACAGTGTTAATGCTGACATATACAGTGTTAATGCTGACATATACAGTGTTAATGCTGACACATAGTGTTGTTGACATATGATTATATATATACAATGTTAATGCTGACATATACAGTGTTAATGCTGACACATACAGTGTTAATGCTGACATATACAGTGTTAATGCTGACATATACAGTGTTAATGTTGACATATACAGTGTTAATGCTGACATATACAGTGTTAATGCTGACCCATTACAGTGTTAATGCTGACACATACAGTGTTAATGCTGACATATACAGGGTTAATGCTGACATATACAGGGTTAATGCTGACCTATTATACAGTGTTAATGCTGACACATACAGTGTTAATGTTGACACATACAGTGTTAATGCTGACACATACAGTGTTAATGCTGACATATACAGGGTTAAGGCTGACATATACAGTGTTAATGCTGATATATACAGTGTTAATGCTGACATATACAGTGTTAATGCTGACACATACAGTGTTAATGCTGACACATACAGTGTTAATGCTGACATATACAGGGTTAAGGCTGACATATACAGTGTTAATGCTGACATATACAAATGTGACCTACAAAAAAGTAGATATTGACAATTTTCCTACACCTAAAAAATACAACCTGCTCACCTCTCGCGCGATAAATCGTTCATTTCTATGCTATGAAATATTTCCTGCCGTTCACTGCTCCTACGGTGCAGTGACTGCCTGACTGTGTATGGTTTTACCGCTTTTTAGCAATATTCCAGCAATATGACTGACGGGGGGACACCAGAAATAGGCTTCACACATTGTACCCATGTGGGGAATAGAACCCGGTCTTCAACATGACGAAAGTGAACGCTTTAACCACTAGGCTACCCCCACCACCAATGATATGAAAAGGAAACAGAAAGGTTCCCTGTGGTACCCTTGATGATGTGTACAGATACACTGGCTGTGTTCTCACGGAGGAAACTGACCTTGTGAGGTGCTTGCTCTCCTCATGGACCTCCATTTCTTTACTCTTGAACTCATTCAGCTCCTTGCGTGATTGTTGCCTGAAATAGTCAGACACCAGTCAGACATGAGTGTACTACTGTGGGGCAGCGAAGCCTACAGAAATACAAAGCAGATCCTACCTGTCAGCCAGGAGAGCAACAATTGTCAGTATACTGAATGGAGGGCCACAGACAGAATTAAGTCCATCAGTCTTTGGGAAGCAACATTTGAAAGGAGACAGATACTGATGAGCTTCCAACATCACTAGAGCGGGGCCAGATACTGATGAGTTTCCTACATGATGAGCTTCCTACATGACTAGAGAGGGGCCAGATACTGATGAGTTTCCTACATGATGAGCTTCCAACATCACTAGAGCGGGGCCAGATACTGATGAGTTTCCTACATGATGAGCTTCCTACATGACTAGAGAGGGGCCAGATACTGATGAGCCTCCTACATGACTAGAGAGGGGCCAGATACTGATGAGCCTCCTACATGACTAGAGAGGGACAGATACTGATGAGCTTCCTACATCACTAGAGAGGGGCCAGATACTGATGAGCTTCCTACATGACTAGAGAGGGGCCAGATACTGATGAGCTTCCTACATCACTAGAGAGGGGCCAGATACTGATGAGCCTCCTACATCACTAGGGAGGGGCCAGATACTGATGAGCTTCCTACATCACTAGGGAGGGGCCAGATACTGATGAGCCTCCTACATGACTAGGGAGGGGCCAGATACTGATGAGCCTCCTACATCACTAGGGAGGGGCCAGATACTGATGAGCCTCCTACATCACTAGGGAGGGCCAGATACTGATGAGCCTCCTACATCACTAGGAGGGCCAGATACTGATGAGCTTCCTACATCACTAGGGAGGGCCAGATACTGATGAGCCTCCTACAAGGCTAGAGAGGGCCAGATACTGATGAGCTTCCTACATCACTAGGGAGGGGCCAGATACTGATGAGCCTCCTACATCACTAGGGAGGGCCAGATACTGATGAGCCTCCTACATCACTAGAGAGGGACAGATACTGATGAGCTCCCTACAAGGCTAGAGAGGGCCAGATACTGATGAGCTCCTACATCACTAGAGGGGCCAGATACTGATGAGCCTCCCACATGACTAGGAGGGGCCAGATACTGATGAGCTTCCTACATCACTAGGAGGGGCCAGATACTGATGAGCTTCCTACATCACTAGGAGGGCCAGACACTGATGAGCCTCCTACATCACTAGGAGGGACAGATACTGATGAGCCTCCTACATCACTAGGAGGGCCAGATACTGATGAGCTTCCTACATCACTAGGAGGGCCAGATACTGATGAGCCTCCTACAAGGCTAGAGAGGGGGCCAGATACTGATGAGCTTCCTACATCACTAGGAGGGGCCAGATACTGATGAGCCTCCTACATCACTAGGGAGGGGCCAGATACTGATGAGCTCCTACATCACTAGAGAGGGACAGATACTGATGAGCTTCCTACATGACTAGGGAGGGCCAGATACTGATGAGCTTCCTACATCACTAGGGAGGGCCAGATACTGATGAGCCTCCTACATGACTAGGAGGGGCCAGATACTGATGAGCTCCTACATCACTAGGGAGGGCCAGATACTGATGAGCTTCCTACATGACTAGGAGGGGCCAGATACTGATGAGCCTCCTACATGACTAGGAGGGGCCAGATACTGATGAGCTCCTACATCACTAGGGAGGGCCAGATACTGATGAGCCTCCTACATGACTAGGGAGGGCCAGATACTGATGAGCTTCCTACATCACTAGAGAGGCCAGATACTGATGAGCCTCCTACATGACTAGGAGGGGGCCAGATACTGATGAGCTTCCTACATCACTAGGAGAGGGATACTGATGAGCTCCTACATGACTAGGAGGGCCAGATACTGATGAGCCTCCTACATGACTAGGAGGGCCAGATACTGATGAGCCTCCTACATCACTAGGGAGGGCCAGATACTGATGAGCCTCCTACATCACTAGGGAGGGCCAGATACTGATGAGCCTCCTACATCACTAGAGAGGGCCAGATACTGATGAGCCTCCTACATCACTAGAGAGGGGCCAGATACTGATGAGCCTCCTACATCACTAGAGAGGGGCCAGATACTGATGAGCCTCCTGCATCACTAGAGGGGCCAGATACTGATGAGCCTCCCACATCACTAGAGAGGGGCCAGATACTGATGAGCCTCCTACATGACTAGGGAGGCCAGATACTGATGAGCCTCCTTCATGACTAGGAGAGCCAGATACTGATGAGCCTCCTACATCACTAGGAAGGGCCAGATACTGATGAGCTTCCTACATGACTAGGGAGGGGCCAGATACTGATGAGCCTCCCATCACTAGAGAGGGCCAGATACTGATGAGCCTCCTACATCACTAGAGAGGGCCCAGATACTGATGAGCTTCCTACATCACTAGGGAGGCCAGATACTGATGAGCCTCCTACATCACTAGGAGGGCCAGATACTGATGAGCCTCCCTACATCACTAGAGAGGGCCAGATACTGATGAGCTTCCTACATCACTAGGGAGGGGCCAGATACTGATGAGGCCTCCTACATCACTAGGGAGGGCCAGATACTGATGAGCCTCCTTCATGACTAGGGAGGGGCCAGAAACTGATGAGCCTCCTACATGACTAGGAGGGAGCCAGATACTGATGAGCTTCCTACATGACTAGGAGGCCAGATACTGATGAGCCTACTCACATGACTAGGAGGGGCCAGATACTGATGAGCTTCCTACATCACTAGGGAGGGGCCAGATACTGATGAGCCTCCTACATCACTAGGGAGGGGCCAGATACTGATGAGCTTCCTACATCACTAGGGAGGGGCCAGATACTGATGAGCCTCCTACATCACTAGTGAGGGTCAGATACTGATGAGCCTCCTACATCACTAGAGAGGGGCCAGATACTGATGAGCCTCCTACATCACTAGGGAGGGGCCAGATACTGATGAGCCTCCTACATCACTAGGGAGGGGCCAGATACTGATGAGCCTCCTACATCACTAGGGAGGGGCCAGATACTGATGAGCTTCCTACATCACTAGGAGGGGCCAGATACTGATGAGCCTCCTACAAGGGAGGCCAGACACTGATAGAGAGGGGCCAGATACTGATGAGCTTCCTACATCACTAGGGAGGGGCCAGATACTGATGAGCTTCCTACATCACTAGGGAGGGCCAGATACTGATGAGCTTCCTACATCAGTAGAGAGGGGCCAGATACTGATGAGCCTCCTCCATGACTAGGGAGGGGCCAGATACTGATGAGCCTCCTACATCACTAGGGAGGGGCCAGATACTGATGAGCCTCCTACATCACTAGAGAGAGGCCAGATACTGATGAGCTTCCTACATCACTAGAGTGGGGCCAGATACTGATGAGCCTCCTACATCACTAGGCAGGGGCCAGATACTGATGAGCCTCCTCCATGACTAGGGAGGGGCCAGATACTGATGAGCCTCCTACATCACTAGGGAGGGGCCAGATACTGATGAGCTTCCATCATCACTAGAGAGAGGCCAGATACTGATGAGCCTCCTACATCATTAGGGAGGGGCCAGATACTGATGAGCCTCCTACATCACTAGGGAGAGGCCAGATACTGATGAGCCTCCTCCATGACTAGGGAGGGGCCAGACACCAAGATGATGACACACTTACTGACATAATGCTGATGATGGTAAGGGAGTACTGAGAGTGTGAAACATCATCACATCACACTAGGTCAAACCAACCTTATCTTTAGGCGTCAGTCTGGTCCAAGGTTTGTCTGCACGACGATCATACATCTCTGCATCAGTGACTTCAACATAGTCGTTGAACTTTATGATTTTTCTTTCCTTCAACTCCTCAATGCTTGGCCGGAAGCTCAGCTGCAAGACGAAGCGGGTAATTATGTTAGGAATCTGATGAATGTCATGGTTAAAGTTATTCAGTTGCATGTCATTGCCTTCTTTTACATACAACATATACTAGGCACATAAAGAAATTGTGCATACAAAAATTTAAAATCGAAATTGATCAAACCTGTGTAGACACATAAGGATTTAAACTCAGAGATTAGTGACATGTATCAAACATGCATGCACGTGCCTGACGTCAGTGAGTTCGTCCTTGAGACGTGGCAATACGTTGTTGCACGTGCATTCGAGAAAAGAGAAACAGAGCAAATGAATGCCACACAATACTGTCACTTTGGATAGCTCAACCCCTGCCCTTGCGATCGTTCAAAACAAAAAATTAAACGGCTATTGAAACGCATAGCATGCCAAGGCTCAAGTCTGCACAACATTATGAGGCCATTGGGATGGTCCGTGGGGGAATGTCTCAACGACAAGTGGCTGCACATTTCCACTGCCACCGGAACACCATTTCTGCACTGGTGAGGCGCTACCAGACCACAAATGGCGTCATCGATCAATACGTTCTGGGCGTCCACGTGTTAAAACGCCAAGACAGGACATATGGATAAGGGTGACCCATCTTCGCCCAGGTTTCAGACTGCAGTGATGACTGCCCGAACCATCCCAGGACTTCGCCGTATCCACCCCAACACAGTTCAACAACGTTTACGTCATCACGGGATCAGACCACGGCGTCGTCAGCCATATGGCTTATCCTGACAAGCTCGCGAATGTGGTGCGAAATCATGTCCGCAGACCCTTGTTTTGGTGGAGAAATGTTGTTTTACAGATGAGTCCAGGTTTAACATTTCCCATAGTGATGGGCGTCAACGTGCCTATAGGCGTGGGAGAACGTTATGCACAGGCCTGTGTCTTGGAGAGGAATCGCTTTGGTGGTGGTTCCGTGATGATTTGGGGTGGAATAACAGCACACCAAAGAACTCCTTTGGTGATTGTTCAGGGCAACTTAACTGGTGTGGGCTACAGGGATCAGATTCTTCGACCTGTGGCAATTCCTTTTCTGCAACGTCATGGCCCTGGGTTAACATTCCAACAGGACAATGCCCGCCCTCATACGGCAAGGGTTGCTATGGATTCCTTGCAACACCACAACGTTGACTTACTGCCTTGGCCTGCAAATTCACGGATCTCTCCCCGATAGAGCATGTTTGGGACGAGATGGATCGGCGCCTCACGCCGTCTTCCTCATCCATCCAAATAACGTCCTTGACCTTGCAACAGAACTTGAGAGAATCTGGCGTGACATCCCACAAGCCTTCCTTGCATGTTTGATAGGTTCTATCGTCGTTGATGCACTGCTGTTCTCAATGCCGATGGTGGACATACCCGTTATTGAGCTTGTGACATGGTCGTTTGACCCCTGTCCCGCTTGTGGACTCGTGACATCATTGTGATTGACTTTTCAACTGAAATTCTCCCGACTTGTTATGGTCTCATGATCCCTCCATTAAAGTTTATATGTACCTTTGACATTGTTATCGTACTTATCAACTGGGAAAATATTTTGACAATGCACAGTTTCTTTATGTGGCTAGTATATATGGATGTTACAGTACAACCAGAAATTATAGAGAATTTAAGATTGTAATTTTTCATATTTTTTTCACTCATTACTCACGTATTAAATGTGAATATTAGCAGAACATAACTCCAGATTCAAAGACAGGTGAACAGTTAGTATTTTGTCAAGTCACCATAGGCAGCAATGCAGGCTGCAATGCGGCGGGGCATACAACTGATAAAAGAAGTTAGAAAGTCGTGGTCCATGCTGTCCCAGTATCAGACCACCTCTTCTTTCATTTCAGCAATATTTGTCAGATTTTTCTTATTGACACTTTCCTTCATAAGTCCCCAAACATTTTCTATTGGATTTCTATTGGAAAATCCAAACATTTCCATAGAACACGTGAGCAGATGGAAGTAAGTGTCCCTCGAGAATATCTGTGTCCCGCTCACTGTTCATATTCCCTTCAAATACACAGAGGGGCATTGCCCCTAACACAGATATGCCACCCCACACGTTAAATTTCGGACTGTACTTTGGGCGCTGATACAAAGGTTTTTCAGTTTGTTTGGTCCAGAATTTCAGTGTATTAGGAAACAGCCACACAGAACTTTCATCTGAGCAAATCACATTGTCCCAGTTAAAATTTCTATGCTGTAAGCACCAGTTCAACCTTCGCTCCTTTTGTTCAGGTTTCATGATCGGTGATGGAATTCCTCGACTTATCTGCCAACCCAATGCATGCATCTCAGTTCTAATTGTCTCCTTACAGACAACCACAGTTCCTCTATCGATCATATCCAGCCTTAAGTTTTCTAAACTCCTTCGTTTGTTTTTAGAAACAGGAATACCAAGCCACCTGTCACCCGACAGTCAATTTTCTGGGCCTACCTGCGTCTCCTGGTGCTCAATGCCATATCCATTTGTAATATTTTTCAAAACACGATAAACAGTAGACAAAGGGATGCCTGTTATACTTGAAATCACTTTAGCTGATCTGATGTCCTTGTTATAATACTCTAAAATCAACTTCCTCTTCTCTAAATCATCCATACTGAGGATCACTGAAAATGTCGTGTGCTAGCAAGTAAACAAAGGGGGGATAACTCTTCACAAACTAATGAAAAGGGATTAACGGAGTTGTGTCTCTTGAATGAAACCAAGCACTTGATAGCTGGTCAAGGTTGTTTATACTAGAAAAACAATTAAACATATTCCTAAAAGTCTCAATAATTTCTGGTCATACTATAAGTTTCCACAACATGAAATGAAGACATGAGACTGGCAACAGTGTGAAGCCCATGCTATGGACTCTAGATACACCTAGACTCTAGAGCCTATAATCATACAGGGAATATACAGTGTGCTTTCTATAGTAATACTGAATTGTGGAGCCTATAATCATACAGGGAATATACAGTGTGCTTTCTATAGTAATACTGAATTGTGGAGCCTATATATATATACAGGGAATATACAGTGTGCTTTCTATAGTAATACTGAATTGTGGAGCTTATATATATATACAGGGAATATACAGTGTGCTTTCTATAGTAATACTGAATTGTGGAGCTTATATATATACATGGAATATACAGTGTGCTTTCTATAGTAATGCTGAATATGTGGTAATACTGAATTGTGGATATATATACAGGGAATATACAGTGTGCTTTCTATAGTAATACTGAATTGTGGAGCTTATATATATATACAGGAATATACAGTGTGCTTTCTATAGTAATACTGAATTGTGGAGCTTATATATATACAGGAATATACAGTGTGCTTTCTATAGTAATACTGAATTGTGGAGCCCATATATATATACAGGGAATATACAGTGTGCTTTCTATAGTAATACTGAATTGTGGAGCTTATATATATATACAGGGAATATACAGTGTGCTTTCTATAGTAATACTGAATTGTGGAGCTTATATATATACAGGAATATACAGTGTGCTTCTATAGTAATACTGAATTGTGGAGCTTATATATATACAGGAATATACAGTGTGCTTTCTATAGTAATACTGAATTGTGGAGCCTATATATATATACAGGGAATATACAGTGTGCTTTCTATAGTAATACTGAATTGTGGAGCCTATATATATATACAGGGAATATACAGTGTGCTTTCTATAGTAATACTGAATTGTGGAGCCCATATATATATACAGGGGAATATACAGTGTGCTTTCTATAGTAATACTGAATTGTGGAGCTTATATATATACAGGGAATATACTGTGTGCTTTCTATAGTAATACTGAATTGTGGAGCTTATATATATACAGGAATATACAGTGTGCTTTCTATAGTAATACTGCATTGTGGAGCTATATATATACAGGGGAATATACAGTGTGCTTTCTATAGTAATAATGCATTGTGGAGCTATATATATACACAGGGAATATACAGTGTGCTTTCTATAGTAATACTGAATTGTGGAGCTTATATATATACAGGGAATATACAGTGTGCTTTCTATAGTAATACTGAATTGTGGAGCTTATATATATACAGGGGAATATACAGTGTGCTTTCTATAGTAATACTGAATTGTGGAGCTTATATATATACAGGGAATATACAGTGTGCTTTCTATAGTAATACTGAATTGTGGAGCTTATATATATACACAGGAATATACAGTGTGCTTTCTATAGTAATACTGAATTGTGGAGCCTATATATATACAGGAATATATACAGTGTGCTTTCTATAGTAATACTGAATTATTGGAGCCCTTATATATATACAGGGAATATACAGTGTGCTTTCTATAGTAATACTGAATTGTGGAGCTTATATATATATACAGGGAATATACAGTGTGCTTTCTATAGTAATACTGAATTGTGGAGCATATATATATACAGGGAATATACAGTGTGCTTTCTATAGTAATACTGAATTGTGGAGCTTATATATATACAGGGAATATACAGTGTGCTTTCTATAGTAATACTGAATTGTGGAGCTTATATATATACAGGAATATACAGTGTGCTTTCTATAGTAATACTGAATTGTGGAGCCTATATATACAGGGGAATATACAGTGTGTGCTTTCTATAGTAATACTGAATTGTGGAGCTTATATATATACAGGGAATATACAGTGTGCTTTCTATAGTAATACTGAATTGTGGAGCCTATATATATACAGGGAATATACAGTGTGCTTTCTATAGTAATACTGAATTGTGGAGCTTATATATATACAGGGAATATACAGTGTGCTTTCTATAGTAATACTGAATTGTGGAGCTTATATATATATACAGGGAATATACAGTGTGCTTTCTATAGTAATACTGAATTGTGGAGCCTATATATATACAGGGAATATACAGTGTGCTTTCTATAGTAATACTGAATTGTGGAGCTTATATATATATACAGGGAATATACAGTGTGCTTTCTATAGTAA